CAAACAATCAAACAAAAAAATGTTACTCTATACTAAAGACATAAAAAAATATACGAAATATGATTTGAATTTTAAAAAGGGTATATAAATGAAATACTAAAGCTTTGTTACCGATTAATTAATGACAATATTTAAATGTGTGCTTAACATATACTATCTGCAATACAAGTAAATAACTTCTAATGCCTCTAATCAGTGGCGGATCCAGGAATTTCATAATGGGGGGGGGGCAATAGAAGGCGGGGGGGGGGGTTCGGGGTGGCTGCATTGAAGCCCCCAGTGGGTCTAAGGCAAAGCCCTGGTAAGGGTCCGGGGACGAAGCCCCATGAAGCTGACGAATACTTACAAATAAGAGAGGTTTTTTCCTTGATTTTAGGATAATGGACATATAAGTTCTACATACAAAAAATTCAAACGGGGAGGGGGGGGGCGTGCGCCCGGCGCGCCGGCCCTGGATCCGCCTTTGCTAATCCAACTTTGCTTGAATTGGTAAATTGTTAATTTTCTAATCGTTCTTTAATACTAGCAGTATTGGCCCTATGCAAGAAAAAAATATTGCTATAATTTTCTCCACACGGTAATATTACATGAATATTCACACACATATATCAAGATTATTTTAATTTAAAAAATGAAAAAACGGAACAATTTCAAGGAAAAATAGGCTTCAATCAGGCAAAAATAATATATTATCAATACTTGATTTTAGATTTGATAAAACTTAGAATGAAATATGAAGATAATGAACAGTATTCAGTCTTGAAAGTCCAATGAAACGATACAAATTTGGAGCAGAGCACACATGGACCTCAAAATTTAGATTTGGGATCAGGTGCCATGGAGGAGTGAGCATCCCCTGCCTACCGGTCACACAGATGTTCAAGATCAATAGGTACTGAATGTTTTAAATATTCCTATTTTAATTTTTTTCACCACTTAAATCACTAATATTCTCATGTATATGCGTATACTTTTTGTCTTTCAACTAAGGGGTTGAGTTTACACAACATGGGTACCAGGGGATTCCTACAGGTATGAACTGACTACTTTTCATCACTTAAATATCTTGAAGAATACCAACTGCAAATATATCAAAACAAAATATTTTTATCTAAAAAAAATTCTTAAATAAAATCTTTGGATACACCCTCTCCCAAAACAAATGACATACAATATCTTTATCGAAACTGTGTCAGATTTTTATGAATTATTTCGAAGAGAACTAATGTATATCTGCATCCGTTATTCAGAAAGAAAATTTATATGTGTATGCAAAACAATAAGCAGACAAACATAATTTTCAAAAAAAGAAACCCACCCCATTAAAAAAATTCAAGCCAAAAAAATAGAATAAAAATGAATAAATAAAAAAATAAGAATTTAATAAAAATCATGCGAGGATTAAAGAGTGTATTCAGCTATAGTAATAAAAGTTGCTGATTGGTAATTTGAGAGGGATTTCATAAAACACCGATTATTCGAAATAATATGTTTTTTAGTGGTTCTGTGTCCTGTATGCATTGTCAGTAAGAAATACTGAATGTGGACATTGTACCGCCGTCCGCCTTATGTCAAGATACGGAGTCCGCATATGTCTCTCTCCAGAATGGGAGAGGATCACCTACAATTCGGCCGTGGTTTGCGACGATGAGAATGGGACATTAATATTTTTGTTCAGATGTCGTCAAAATCCAAGCAATTGCCACTGTCTGTCGGTATACAGTTAACTTTGCTTAACGGCAGAACTTTTTATAAATGTTGTAAAAATAAACTGAAGAATGTGATATCCAAAAAAGCCCCGTTAGAATCGCTTTGATTAAAAATTTTATTGCAAATAAATGAAATTTCAGTCGGATTCTTCAGTGAAAATTCATGGTTTGGAACGAACTTCTGGGTCTAAGTTTCACTGTTAATGAGGCATTGATTGGGTTCACGTTATGCAGTGTAATAATAATAAGCTTGTCTTACGCCACTGATGTAAACTGTCTTGATGATGATATTTCTTAAAAACTTAAGCCACAAGCAGCGAGGCGGAAATTTAAACCCCCTGCATGAATACACCCCAAAAGTTGACCAGCAGTGCGGAAACAAGATTTCCAGAAACGCCATCGGGTCTTGGACGAACAATATTATATCAATAATTCATAACACAGTATCCATTTTATAATTTGACATTTATTTGGTTGGAGATTCCCTCCACCCACTAATTACGGGGTAGGTTAATGAGGGTTGGATTATTGAGTAATCAAAAATCACCTTGCTCTGTTACATCCTATCATTGCACAAGGCTGATTTCAATTACTTTATGGCGTATTCAATACGTTTCCTCCCAATTCTTGACCAGTCAGGCGAGTTCTCATATTGTTGTTTGGCAGCTGGACGAGTTTTCATTGCCGAAGAATTAGGGGTTCATTACTCAACACCCTTAAGTAGAGACGCAGTGAACAATTTTCATTATTTCATTTCTTATTTCTAAATTTGCTCCTTAAGTTGATGACATTGCGCTGCTACCTCTATCTACTCATCTTAAAAGTTTTCCCATTCTACCCCCCCCCCCCGGTTTTTTTTTTACCATGATGATCTATGTTACCTCTTTTAGAACAAAAGTAGAACGCGAAAATCTAGGAATGTTGAAAGGCATAAAGAATTTCATGTATGTTTCAAATTTTTCTTAAATTGAAAAAATGAAGACTATTTATAGAATTTGTAGAAAAAAGAATAAAATCTAAAATAAAACAAAATCTTGCGTTATTTATATTTTCTTGCAAACTTGTTCAATATAGCAGCGGAACTTGTTAGTCTCTGATGTTCTCTAGCCCAAAATGTGTCGAGGATCCATCATTTCATTAAAACTTTTACAACTCCTACATTATCAAAACGATAATGTAATTCAACATAACATGTAGTTTAAGTCTAAGATCTACTCTGTATTTCATTTGAAAGATAGGGAAATAAAGTTGGGTGATGCATAAATGTCGATTCTTTGACTCTAATGAGAGGCTATAAAATTCAGCTTTTCTCAATGAAAAATGTTTTCTTGGTGGCATTGTTTTGTTTTCATTCATACCAATAAATTATTTGAAATTTTATACTGTGAAAACTAACAATTTTGGGAAGAGATAAAGAAAAGGTTGCAACCTCCCAATGTTTGTTTTTTCTTCAAGTCGTAAAAAACAGGTTCATTGAACTTAATGGGATTTAAGGGTATTACATTATAAGAATTGGAAGGGAGGAAAAAAAGAGAAAAGTCATTTGATTTTTGGACGAGAAAACAAACTATTTACATATTGTGTTCAGATCTTTCTCTCTTTCTTTCACTCTTTCTTTCTCTCTTTCTCTATCTCTGAATTTCTTTCATTACATGATAATTAAGATATGGGGATATCTAGCTACCCTCCCCACCACAGTGTGTGATTTTTATGCTTCTGACGCTTGTTCTTGTGGCAAATCCTTTTTACCAAGTGTTACTTTGGTCACTTTTTGTGACAAAGTCCCGTCCTTCGTGTGTAGTCGCACTTAATTCCAAGCTTTGAATAACAGCCAATGTGTTTGACGTTTTACAGAAGCAATTTGCAGAATGCCTGTTTCATTTTGTTCTAGAGAGCAGGTGATGACAGCTGCAGGGACGATATTGCCGATTTTACTTGATATTAAATGATACTGATCACTTATTTCGTAACATGTGCATCTGATTTCGCGGCATACGTCGTTTTCAATGCAGGGAGAGTTCCACTTGTAACGGGTAGGAGCTAAATCCCTAAGTCGGCCTGCTGCGCTGATTTCTAAACACTGCACATTAGCTTGATATCTTTGTTTTCCGAGGATCCTCGAGTACTGTAATAAATCATGACTAGGTTTACATGTGCATTTATTTGTGTGCTCTTCCTCAGAATCCTCCCGGTTTGGTCTTTGTTCAACTTAGTTCACCTGTCGACCCCCTAAAAACTCTTAACTTGTGCCAAGCGTATTTAACAATAGAGGGGAAAAAACTACTCAATAAATACCCTGCATTTTTTTTTCAGTTCCGATCATAATTAGACAAAATGTCGGACATTACTGGTGGAACATTATGAAAAGTGCACAACAATACTCCAGACAAGTATTTCACCATTCTTGTAAGAAGTCATTTTACATAACTATCAAAACAGCTGCAGCAGCATTAAAACAAGCCTAGAAAACAATATGCACCAAAAATAACCTCTTTCCGATGGGCTGAACGGAAATAATGCAAAATGGAATCAATACCATTAAGGGATACCCCTAAATCAACTACGTTTTGAGGTTGCAAAAAACATAAATGACTGCTAATTCTGAAAGACACAGTACACGTTTCTTTTAAATCAGGAATGTCTGCTAATTAAATTCTAGACATTTTTTAAAAAGTTGAATTCATTAATTAAAAGTGCGTCTTAATATTTTTGCGCAAAATGTAGTTTTCAATTTTCCCGCCGTTTTTGTGTCAATGAGCCACAAAATAATTAGAGTTGCCGATCTTGGGCTAAATATCGATTTTAGACGCTTGATGGCGCTCTTGTGTTACGCGTGTTTGTTTACAAAGAATCGAGAACAGGCAGATTGTTAGAACATTCAAGGCTCAAAGAGAGCAAATTTAGCATGGAAAAATTCAGATTCTTTGAAATTTGTATTTATAGTGTGCGTAAAAATCAACATGAGGCATTTTTATGATGATGAAAAGAAAGAGTCTGGACACGTATTATTTTAATATTTTTGATAAAGTCATTATAGTTCACATTTTAGATTTATTTTATAAACTAAATTCATTTGGCACGTTAGAGATTTTTCTTAAAATGTAGATGTAGTTGATTTATCATGCAAGATATTCTAAGAATGACAGCCACCATTCAGTAAACAAATTGAGCGGTATTTAATCGCTGTTTTTTCTGTTTATCAAAGTACAAGTAATCTAACAGGATTGTGACATTTGCGCGCCTTTTGCGCCATATGACGTAGAGTTCAAAGGTCAGTACGCAGAAAGGAAGTGTATCAATCGTCTGTCATGCCATGCTTGTTGATATGTTAGATGTTTACATAAAATTGAATGAACGAATTGGTTTAACGAGGGAATGTGAATGTCATTGATTGATTCTAGGTAGGTGCATAACTGCAATAGAATGTTCACAATTTTGCTTGAAAGACAGGCCTGTTCAAACTAATAAGAACCACCACTTTTAAGCTAAAACTCGATAGGTTGGAGTATACTACTGAAGATGCATAAAAAAAATGAAACTTGCATTGATTTTTTTCCCCAGTGATCATGATTTTAATTAAGTCCTGGCGAAAGAATCTTTTAGCAGGTTGGGACCAATCGACCAAATGGGATATTCATACCCGTCAGGGATATAATATCCCAAATTGGATATAAATTTACAGTGCAAAAAAAAAAAATTTTTTATGTTGGCTATAGATATCATAAATCAGCATCAAAATACTTAAATGGAATACCTTTTGGCATGCAGATTTTTCTGCAACCCTACAGTTTTTTAGATTGATCCCCAGTTAAGAAGTTTAGGAACTTAATTAATTCCAAGGGATCAACCTATAGCTCCTATAAACAGTGGGCATACAGCATTTTAGCTTGTTAACCAAAAGTTATTCCTTTATAAGTAAAGTAAAACTCGAACAGTCTTTTAAAATAATGACATGTGCAAAAGACGATGTCTTTATTGAATATGTTTCAAAAGTTACCTCATTAAAATTTTCGATTCATTAAAAGTAAATTGCAAGTTTGGTCTGGGCTAGTGATTTTGTGGTCAGGGCTAGTAAAAATGATGGGAAGTAGCCCTATTGGTTTAGTATTCGTAAAAGTTAATGTCAAACTCTGTAACTGTAAACTATCTTAAATTGTGTTCATTGAGGTCTGGATAAGTACACAGGCTTTCACAGGGTTGTGGTTAGTTTTTGAAACCTTAGGGGCCATGTGGGCTCCTAACTTTTCAAATTTTACGGGCCCACAATGTGATCCACGGGCCCACATTATATGTAAATTAAAAATAACAACAACAAAAATCCTTAATTTTTTCTAATAATTTTTTTATTTGTAGTAATTAGTATCTATACAGTGATTTATTTTGGTGTGCGTCCTGCGTAAATTACACACAAATTTTGCCCAGGACGCATTATTTCAATAAATGTGCATCCCAATGGATGCACTGAATTTAAAGAAGGACATTTATTATTTTAAATTGTTTCCATATAATCTGATTCAAAACTTGACCGATTGCATCATTTCCACGTGCTAAGCGATATAATATGCATGAGTAATTTTAACAGGTATAAGTTTGCCAACAACAGGTCAGATTTCACAATTCACTGTTAAATTGCATATAACAAACAATTATCAGAAAATATTTATAAGTAAGATAGCATAGTTCGATTATGTCTACGTGTACCAGGGACCTATATACTAACTATATAGGTCCCTTTGTGTACTAGGCTATACCTTTGTATTCAATTATAAGATGTAATTTAACCTATGTATTTTAATTTTTTCCTTAGAAGCCAAGACGTACATGTATAAAATACGATCATTTTTCTTTCTGACTATTTTTCATTTTTTTAAAAAACTTTCTCTACTTTTTTTAATAGAACAACTGATCTGCTTCTGTGCTTTTTATGACGAGATCTTATTTACGATCCCTAAGGCCTTGGTTTCGGACGCATTGATTTTGGCATGGGACTCATTATTTTCATTCAGAGGGGTCCTTTGGACCCATGATAACCATTTTCAAAATGAATCACTGTCTATATGTTCACAGTATATGAATTTTTGTCACGTTTTCTCTTTTCTAAAAACTTTGATCCGATAATATGTTCATTACATTTTGTAGTGTTTAACCTTATACAACTGCAGCGTCTATGGTTTAACAAGGTTACATGCAACCTTTGATGAAGTTTGATCCCAATCTTTTAATATGTGCATTTGACACGGTAATTATGTTCCCCAAACGAAGTTGGGGAACATATTGTTTTTACTCTGTTTCTTATTATTATTATTATTTTTCTTCTTCTTCTTCTTCCTGGGTACTTTTTTGTCCGCGAGTGATCTCGTCAACTACTCATCCGATTGAGGTGAAACCTTTTTAGGGTTAATAGGCATGTTATGTAGATTTGCGGAATCAAGGTCATTTTTAGCGCACGTGCATGCACGTGCGTGCGCGTGCAATGCGTAAAATGACCAATATACTTGATATAGCTGTAACTTTTATATTTTTTGATGAAATGCTTTGATACTCAGAATATAAGGATATATTAAAAGTGTAAACAAGATGACATGGTCAACATGCACATGCATGCACGTGTGCGCACGCGCAAAGCGTAAAATGACAAATATACTTGATATACTCGTAACTTTTATACTTTTTGATGAGATGCTTTGATACTCAAAATTTTTATATATATTAAAAGTGTAGACAAGACGACATGGTCATCGTGCACATGCATGCATGCATGCATGCACGTGCGCGCGCGTGCAATGTGTTAAATGACCAATATACTTAATATAGCCGTAATTTTTATATTTTTTTATGAAAAGCTTTGATATTAAGAATATACAGATATATTAAAAGTGTAGACAAGATGATGTGGACAGCATGCTCATGAATGCACATGCGCGCGCGTGCAATGTGTTAAATGACCAATATACTTAATGTAGCTATAACTTTTATATTTTTTTATGAAAAGCTTTGATACCAAGAATAAACCGACATATTATAAGTGTAGACAAAATGGCATGGTCATTATGAACATGCATGCAGGTGCGCATGCGTGCAATGCTAAGATGACCAATATACTTGATATAGCTGGAACTTATTTATTTTTTTGATGAAATGTTTTAATACTGAGAATATAAAGATGCATTAATAGTATAGATGAGATGACATGGTCATCCTGCACATGCATGCACGTGCTGCGCGCGCGTGAAATGCAAAAAACTATCAATATACTTCATTGGCTTATTTAATGAAGCTTACAGGAAATAAGACACCAAAAGGGTGTTGGGGAGCGTTTGGGGAACATCTGTAACGGTCCCCGTTACAATTATAACTAGTTCAAATTCTGTCTGTGAATAACTAGTCCAGATGGAGTGTGCGACAACCATAGACGATTGATACAATATTTCTATTTGAACAATGTCAAACATTTGCATTATCATGAGATTTAATGGAGATTTAACCGCTTCGATAAATTGCCTTGTTTTAAACTCAGTCACGTACATACTTGAATAATATGTAACACAAAAAATCTAGGTTAGTAGAGTGTTTTCTTAAAAACTGAAAGTACATAAAATATAAAACTGAAAGATGAATATGTTCTAGGGAAAAAATCGTTCGCCATGTGGGCGACCAGATTTTTAATATCTGATAGCCCACAGTAAATTTTACTGGCATTTGCGAGTGGTTATCCACAACCCTGTTTTATTTAGATCACTTTAATTCGATTGTCAAAACTGAGGGTATAAAAAAGGCGGGGAATTCAGAGACCCAAGCTAGTTTCGACGAAAGAAAAATAGGTCAATTTTTAAATTGATTTCGTATCTTAGGAAGTATACTGAATTTCGGAATGAACTTTGGTAGTAATCTAGTTTGTTTATATTTGAAAAGATATGGATAGAAAGTGTAATTTTAAATCATTTATTATGCCCCCTTCAAAGAAGGGAGGGCATATTGCTTTGCTGCTGTCTGTCGGTCCACCAACAGTTTCCGTTCATTTTCTTTGCAGAAGTTGCATATATTGAAATGAAATTTGGTATACAGATTGATCATAAGAATATCTAGGTCAAGTTCTGTTTTGGATACGATTGAGCAATTTTTGACAGAGTTATGCCTCTTGAAATTCCAATTATTGGGGGGGGGGGGGGGGAGGGGACATAAGTGTTTCACAAACATCTCTTGTTAATATTTCATTGGCAAAATTGGGTACCCTATTTGAGAAGTTCCACACCTTTATTTTTTTTTATACCTGGGTTTTGTCAGTTGGATTAAAGCGATCTAAAGGCCTGTGGCTAAGTATGATTGCTTCACATTGTGTTAGAATTTTATTTATTAATTATCTTGTTGACCAGAATTTACCTCCTTTAAAATTTTATCCAGGAAGTAATTGTGGTTACATATCAATTGCTTTAGATAGGCTAGCCCATAAACTTTTTTAGAACTTTGAGTGCAAAGACTGAACATACTGAAGGAGACACATTTTTATGAGTGATTTTTTTTACATGTATTGTTTTCAGAAGAGTTCAAAGTTTAAACTAGCTGTCACTGCACCAAAGTGTAACTTTTTTACATGCTGAAAAAATAAATTTAAGAAAAAAGTGTGATAAAATAGCTAAATCGAGCAATTCTGAAAGCTATTCATTATTTTATTGCTTATTCAAACTATATAGCTTAATTGTTCATTGCCTTGTATACCAGTTATAGTATTGTTCTAATTTTCTTAAATTATAAATTTGATATTGTAATGCTCAAGTTATATTTATGTTAAAATCATACAGTTAAAACATCTAAAATCCACTTTCAGAACAAATGTGAGTAAAATGTTCCAGATAATCAAAGGATGTCTGGAGAAGAGTACACAGAAATGGGATGCTTGTGTTGAAAAATCCCTAACAGAGAACGTTGATATTGTCTGTGAGGTACATGTAAACAATATATTTGTTTTAAATTTAACAGTTGGGATGAAGTTTTACTATTTAAAAAAAAAAAGCAACAATAAAACAATCTTATATTTGTAACAGTAGCAGTAATGATGTTTTTATACTTAATTTTCATCTTCCTTTTTTTTCTTAAAATTTCTTAATATCTGTATGAATAACTTTTGTAATTTCAGAGCCTACAGAATTGGGAAGAAAATGCAGAAGAACTCGGAAGTTTACAGGAAATGTTGTATGTCCTCTATACAGCAGCCTCAAATGCAGATGTGGCCAAAAAATTCATCGAAGTTGGAATAAGCCTGATGATAAGTGTTTTGAGATTTATTTAAGATTTTACTCTGAATGATGTAGTTAGCTTCATGATCAAATCTGAAGGAAGTGTGTTAATGGTTTCCAAAATGTTGAGCAAAAAATAAAGTTTGAAAGTACACCCACCAGTATATATACAGTAAAACTTGTTGAATCCGGATGTTGTGCATTCCGGCATGTTGTTCAGTCCGGCGTAATACTTTAGTCCCTTGAATTTTCTTTATAATTTATGTTTAATAAATGTTGTGCAGTCCGGATCTTGCCTATTCTGTAAACCGGCCGCTATTTAAAGAACTTACTGCTCATAATTAGTACAAATTATCTCCTCTAATCCGGCCACTTATTTTTACCTGTGCCCGCTGGTCATTAGAGAAGTCTCGCGTGGGGCAATTATTGTCTCATTAATGATCTATCCTGTATCGACAGTTTAGATTTTAACAAACGTGATAAAAAAATTATTAATGGCTTAAGTAAGGCGAGGAAACTCGCAAAAGAATGAGTGATATTTATGGTTGCGTGTAGCATGTCTGTAGAAAAACTTGGAGACTTTTCATGACCTCCTTTCTACTTTCGTTTTGCGTGCACGACGTGCAATTCGAATTACTTCCCTTTGTGTCGCTAGTTTACAACGACCAAAGCAACAGAAGATTTTGGTTCAATATTCATTACATGTATAACATTTGAAATTAACAAATACAGTGTCTAAATATTCAAACATATTAATTTTAAAAGAAAGAAATTAATTAGGAATCTGTCCCTAACAAAATAATATTTACAGCTACGATAAGGTTTTTGAGTGTATTTAAAACATTTAACGATTTTCAAATTTGATAAATGACCAAGAGATATTATATTTCGATACTGAATAAAAAACTTAAACAGAAATGAAAATTCTGAAGAACAAACAGAGTTCAAAACAAATGGAAATAGACGATTTTTTCAAGTGAAACGTAAAAAATGACACATTTGATCAAGTATTTATTTACCACTCTGTGTTTATATCTATGTAATTTTTAACTTGCTATAACGGTTCAATTTTCTCCAATCTGGATGTTGCCGAATCCGGCTAAAAATTTTGGAACCACTGGTCGCCGGATTAGACAAGTTTTACTGTACTATTATTTATAATTCATTTTTCTTGTTCACATTGAAAAGATTTTTGATGAAGCTCTTAGAAATCACCAAAAGGGAAAAAATGAGTGGGAAGTAATCGAGGAACAAATTCTGGATGTTGTCAATGTAAGTGCCTTCTTGAGAGCGTTACTCTTTAAATTTATTGTATATACTGTGGCATGTGGATTGGTCTGATAATCATTAAAAGTCAAAACTTATTTAATAATGCTAAGTGCAAATAATGTGAAGGAAATGCCCAACAACGAAGTACAGTCAACTCTAATTATCTCCAACACCAATAATGAAATAAAAATAAGGATTAAAAAAAATTATAATTTGGAGACATCAGAGGAACTGAGATATTGAGATAATAAAGTAATAGGGACTTCCAACTCACTTTGTGGTATTCAAGATATCAATGTTCAAGATACCAAAATTCAACAGCACAACTGTCTATATATACTTTGTATTAGTATGCTGAGAAGTAATTTATATTTTAGGCATTAGCAGAGGGTTTGTCTGAGGGTATGCAAACAAAATTCATGAAATTTTTTTTTGAAGTTTTATAGTTGTACATGTATTCACTAATTTATTTTGTTATTTTAAAAATAAGGTATCTTTTTCAAATGTCTGTCTGGATTAAAATGTGGGTTGATCATGGCCCTTTGGGCTTTATGGTGATCATGTAGCACCTATATTAATATCCCGGTAGATGTTTAAAAATGATACCTTATATTTACATTTGCAATGGCTGGACAACTTGCCCCCAAGACAGGTCGCCCCCAAGACAACTCGCCCCTATTCAGGATAACTCGCCCCCAATTCAGGACAGCTTGCCCCCATTGAAGACAACTCGCCCCCAGTTTAAGAAACCAACAAATATTAAATATATTATATAGATATTTGAATTTAAAAATGTTCCTAGAAAGTTAAAACAAACAACTGAAAATAAAATTTCTCAATTTTATTGAAAATAAAACACAACACAAATAATTTAAACACTAATATCTATGGTTGATATTGACACTTTTTTGATATATCTTCACTAAATTCACTAAATTCACACATTTGTTTACATTTTGATCACAAATAAAACTAAATATATGTAATTTTCAGAGCTTGCATGCTTTAATTCTTCATCACATTGAAGCTGCTTCTGAGCTTGGATACGGCACGACAATATATTATGATAAATCTTTTATGCATACATAGTGTTTTTATACAAGAATATGATGAAAATGCATAAAAAATTAAATAACAGGCCCGTAGGAAGCAATTTCAGTTTGGGGGGGCACAGCCATACATTTTCAGTTGAGGGGGCACTATCAACTACCAAAAATTCCTTGACAAGCTAAAAAAAAAAAAAAAAAAAGGTCCTTAGACGTTTTTATTGAGGGGGCACAAGTATATAGTAGCTATGTTTTCTATAGTAATCTATATATCGGTAAATTATTGGGGGGGCACGGCATGCCCCCCCCCCCAGTTCCTACGGCCATGAATAAACAATATTTAAAATATTTGATTATAATTTAAATTTGCATATAAAATATAAATAATTGAATAACAGGTATTTTTTTCCCTTGCAATTCACAAGGAAAAATAATGGGGGCGAGTTGTCTCTATAATGGGGGCGAGCTATCTTGAGTGGGGGCGAGTTGTCCTAAATTAGGGGTGAGCTGTCTTTAATAGTGTTGGAGGCGACTTGTCTTGGGGGCGAGTTGTCCCGATTCCTGTTATATAAGGGAAGACTTTAGGAAGTATATATATTTGGAAATAACATTGCATTTTAAGCTTTTCTAAATGTTTGCTTTTCTTTTCATTAACCTGTATTTGTTTATACTATGAAATAAATTTTGATAAATTTATACATTTAAAATTTTTTTAAAATCAATTTTAAGTGGAATAAATGAACATAATTGGTATGAATATACAGAGTACTGTGGAATCATTGTTGTTCTTGGGGGACCAATGTTAGTGGATTTTGTGGGCCTCCCTTACATTGGAATTTATACCCCATGAACCAGAACTTTTTCAACACATTGGTTTGAACCAGTATAATTTTGCTTGCCAACAAGTATTGAACCCCACAAAGTAGAAAGATTCCACAGTATACATTTCCCTTAATTTTAGTTTACTGTCTTATTGTAGATAGAGAAAGTTTTCTTTTGACATTCTGTCCAAAATGTTTGGAATTGATCTTGAAGAAACAAGAAAACTATCTTCATGGAATAGAGGTTTGTATCAGAGTTTCAGATTCTGCATGTTTTGACCTCACTATACAAGCATCAAGGTGAAGAACATCTGATTGCCTGAATGAATTTTATATTCTTGAAAGGAAATTGAACTTTAACTAAAATTAAGTTTTTTTTAGAACTCATACCATGCCCAGAACCTGTCATGGTCATTTTTGAATACTTCTGTTTTCACAAGAAAAGCTAACGCACATAAATTAATACATGAGTAAGATCATTCACAAGTTGTCTTTCATGCAACCTAGATTTAATTTCAGGTTGTCAAGATGAAATTTAGGATAAAATGCCATATGATACATGATATATTGCTTGAAAATGTACATTAATACAAAATATATAAGTGCTTTATTGGTTGAAAAATTTAGTCTTTTTTGTAGGTTCTTAAAGGTTGCAATATGGTAATGGAAAACTGTACTCTGGCAACAAAGGAAAAGATACTGAAGAGAACAGATATTCCTGGCAAATTGTAAATTATTGTAAAATATAGCTTTATCCACTGATATGTTTATCAGTCATCACTTAACAGTGTAAAGAAAATGTTTAAGATCAATTTATTTAACTTTCAGGAGAAGTGTTGCAGCTAAGTTAGAGATTTTGGGAGGTAACTACTTTTCTGTCATTGTCATTGTATAGTATTCACGGTGAAATAGATTTTAAATACATTTTAAAGGGATGTATGCAAAATAATACAGTAAAACTTGCTAATAAAGAACTTGCTTATGAGGAAATCTCCGTTTTAAGGAAACTTTTATGAATCCCATAGAAGACTTTTCACTCTATTTATTATATGGATATAAAGAATCTTGGTTAATATGTTGACGGTGCGACCGTTGGGGTGAGCACAATGTTCACTTAATTTTAAGATCCACCTCTTCAAACCGCACAAGACATTTGGAACATCTAGACTGTGACGTCAGATGACGTCGTATGTTAGCTGCATTTCCATAAATGGAGTTTGAAAAGTGCCAAAATTTTAACAAAGAACGTTTAATGTGCTATCTGTATGCAATATCCATTAAATTAAGGTGAGTTTATTTTTTTTGTGAAATTTAGTTGTTGTTACCGTGCGGACGAAGTTAGCAGTGAGAACAACAAGCGATGCCATGTGGGTCCAGAATTACTGCGGAAAAAAATTCTATTGAATGAATGTGCAGTAGTCCGAATTTTCTCTTCACCCAGGCGTTGTCGTTTAAGCTGGCAGTGACGAGCGGTGATTTGCGCCGCTCGCTGCACTCGCTATAAGGAAGCAAAATTTGAGGTCCCAGTAACTTCCTTATGAATGACTTTACTGTATTTATCGCTAGAATAGGAGGGCATTTCTTCCATGTTTAAAATCTTTTATATATATATCACTGCATGCTTTTAGAGAGTTTTTATGAATGAAAATACCCTAGTTATTTTTTCCAACAGATTATGAATGTCAAGTTGGAATAATAGAGTGTCTCTTTCGAATTATCCCAAGGAAGCAAAGAATGTATTTTGCTGAACAATTCTTCAGGGATGGAAAAATTCTACAACAATTCATGCTTATTAAGGATGCCAACTTTGAGACCGTAAGCTTTTCAATTTCAAGAGAGACAACCATTAGATTTTTATCAAAAAATGATAATTGCACATCATATAGAATTCTTTGAGGGAAATTTAAATTAATTGTTTTAAGAATTGTACGATGAAATGCTAGCTGAAATGCAAAAGTTAATTTTTTGGGTATCTATAAAAGAAATAGATCAAGAAAAGTACAATATATATACATAGTGAATCACTTGATACAGTCCAACCTCATCATCTCGAACTCGATGGGACCGAGAAAAAACTTCAAGATATCCAAAAGTTCAAGATATTGAGCTTAAAATGCAGGAAGAAAATAGTGGTTGGGACTTTCAAATCACTTTAACATATCGATATCGAAGTTCAAGATATTGAAGTCCGGCTGTATTTTATCAGTGACAAATATGAGTATTACAATGCCCTCATATTCCTACAGTGCATTTTTTCTCATACATTATAGGACTGCAGAATCTTCTTGAATGAGTTCAATGCTTCCTTGAACCAAAAGTTGTAAGTAAAAAGCAAGAAAGAAAATTTGCTTACATCAGCAGTTGATATGGATATCTTTTTTTATTGTGTCACCTGTGTAGCTTGGAAGACACACAGGAATCGCTTTGTCCATCATCTACCTGTCTAGGAGGATTCACACTTTAAACAAGAGGCACATGGGCCACAATGCTCACCTGAGTAACTTTTGGGATGACTCTCATATATAAAATCAATCATGGTCCTGCAGCTAATGCTGATCTTGAGAATAATTTTTTTAACAGCTTTTTCCCAAATATTCCCATGTAAAACTTTGATCTCCCATTGTGGCTCAACCTCATTGGGGGGGGGGGGTCACTATGATTTGAAAATTTTTGAATCAGCACTATGTCAATAAGATTTCAAGCCCTTTAATTTTTAAGAAGGTTTTTTAAAATATTTTCTTATGAATTCACATGTAGAGGATTCCCTATTTAGGCCCCACCCTATCCCTGGGACCAATTTAGAATCTATATTATCTAAGGATGCTTGTAGATTAAAAGTTTGCTGTTCTTGAGAAGATTTTCAAGAAATGAAACTTTTATCCCCTATCGTGGCCCAACCCTATCCCACAGGGATTGACATTTTGTTTCAGATCCACTTGCCCTTTGAGCAAATGAACAACTTAGAATGTGAAACTCACGATGCTCAGATGACCATTAAGGCCCATGGGCACCCATATCAAAAAATAATACATAAAAGTATATTTTTAATATATTTTTAATACAATCATTTTCGTATTGTTTAAAATTAATACAGAAAAAATATATTATTTTTGTATCACCAACAAATAGGTAGATTATTTTTGTATTAAAATCTGACTTTGATTTTTTACAGGGTATTATTTTTGTATTTTTTGGGACTTAGATTATTTTCGGTATATCATTTTTGTATTTTTGTGGACTTAGTTTTTTTCAAGTGTATTTTTTCTGTATTAAAATTGAACTTAGTAATTTTACAGAAAATTACATACAGTTAATCTGTATTATTTTTGTATTAAAATTGAACTTAGTAATTTGACAGAAAATTACATACAGTTAGTCTGTATTATTTTTGTATTAAATTTGGACTTAATAATTTTTCAAAAAATACTATACAGTCAGTATGTATTTTTTTTATATTTATTTTGGACTTAGTGTTCTCTTTAACTGAAATTTGTATTTATTTGAACTTAGGAAAATTTACAGAATGTCCTTGCAATAAGTCTGTTGGAATTAATATTTTTTTTCTCAGATTTTATTAATTAAGACCACTGCTATAAAGGTTGCTTTTATACTATTTACATTTAATTGCTATTTAGAACAGAAAATTTCAGTAGTTTAAATTTGTTAACTAAACAATTTCATTTTTAAAACATGTCTTTACTAGGTGTGAAATTGTCATTTTGAAAGAGATAGATACGTCTAAGGGAACACCTGTGCTGTACATGATAGTTGTAAACACGCGGTAAATTTTGAAGTTTCAGAGTTTCAGACTTTCTTTTTGTGTTGAAAATTTTACAGCGTGTTTACAACCGAGTGTTTACAACTATCGCCAACAGCACAGGTGGCCACCTGCAGGCTAACAATAGAGGAGTACATGTTATACTACTCAAAGAAATAACATGATTTACCCGTGAAAACACATCCCAACCAAAAAAAAAAAAAAACAAAAACAACCAACATGGAGAGTTCCACTAATTACAGTACCTACGATGTTTTCTTGACTAGACAACTCAAATTAGTATACATTATATTTAATTCAGTACGTATTACAATTACATGAAATAGAACTATTTAATTATCCGCTTTTAAAAAAAATTAAATAAGAAATTATAATGAAAGAATATCATGAAATAATATAGAAAATGTTGTGAAATTGGTGTAAAGGATAGTTGTTAAACATTATTTCAATCTCTGGTACCGTATGTATGAGTTAAGTTGTCCGTCAAAAAGGCTATATATTATGTATCTACCGCTCGTTTTGATCATTATATTTGAACTTTATGGTCTACTTCACAGGTCAACTTGAATATAAAAATGGCTGCTCTCAGCGGAAATGATGACCGGAAATAACGATGTTTCGTAATCGGTAAATTCCGTAAGGAATAAAAAAATGATTCTGATGATTAAATTGAACATCGTTTTTTTCTAACATAATTTTAGGTTTGTTCAATTGATTCAAGATATTTAAAACCATGTAAATATGTTTTCTCTAACTGTTCCGATCTCAACATCGGTAATTTTCGTATATATGACACAATATGATTGGTCAGATTTTAAAACTCTTCCGTACTGTTCTCTGATTGGTCAACAATATTTCACCCACGCCATTTTGAAAATTCTTCCCGGGACGTGTTGAGAAAGCTGCAGGTGATTTTGAATAAACTCTCATTTGCTCGCGAGTAAAATGGATCGAAAAACAGAAGTTCAGCATAATCATGGTACACAGGATCATATATATGAACCAAGGAAAGCAAATACATAAGGAGACTGACGTTTTTTAGGCATCATATCCGGACTTTTCTGGTGTAAACAACGACAGTTGCGGTAAGATTATGTATATTTTAGCACATTAAAGTTTCAGTTTTTTAAATAATAACTTAGTACAAAGATAGAGGAACAAAGAATGCCTTTTTTACCCATTTTGTAGTATTGTAGAAAGATAAAATAGTACGGTTATTGGCCATGTGGGGAACAAGGGTTTTTGTGATAAATTCTGATTGGGGAGGGAGGGGTGGAAGATGGGGGTAATTTTCAAGCCTTTGGCTTCCTAGTTCTAATTCATTCCAATTTTTTTAAGTTTACCAGAGACGAATTATTTATTTTCCCTTCAAAAACAATTCTGTAATTTGTATAAACTCAAATTTTTTTTAGGGGGGGGGGGTTAGGTTGGGTTCGGGGGGAGGGGGCAGTTTATTTAAATAACATTGGGGCACACATTTTGTTTAATCTTTCAACATTTTCAAGGACAGATTGTTTATTACAAATATATTTTTTAAAATATTTTATAAATCAGCCCCCCCCCCCTTTTTCTTCTCCAGATTGTCAAATCAAATGGTTGTCCCCTAAGAAACCCCAGATTAAAGAAAAGTAATTTCAATGGTACAATTGTATGGAATTTGGTGAACTCCGCTGGATCTTTTGGAATTTCAATTTATAATTATTGTTAATTTCAGTCAGCAGAACATTGAAGAAAAGCTGATTAGTCATGGAGGAAGAAGATCCCTCTCAAGAAAGCATTGCAGGTGTGTGAGCTAAACAAAATCTATATAGAATTATTTTGGATGTGAAAATGTGTGTTTTGTTGAGGTAATGGTTCATTAAATTTTATTATTATATCATTCTGTTCTATATTTCACAGTGATGAAGTCAGATGAGATGACAGGTTGTGTGATTTGAAGATGGACTTCTGCAACAAAGTAAACACTCCTCTACCTTTTCCATACAAAAGAAACAGCAAAGCAGAGAGATTGAAACAGTTGGTAAAAGTACAAAGAAAACAGGATTAGTTAAACTTGTGAAAAATATTAGGACTATTGAAGAGTAGATTATATGTAAAAAGAAAGATCAAGACTAGAATTGGTAGCTGAATCAGTAGCCTTGCCACATTAATTACTTTTTAATTAGCTATTTGTACATTTAAGGTAATCTGACTGAGTTACTAAAATTGTTATTTAACAAATATTTCAAATAAATAAAAGATTTTTGAATAACAATCAATAGATGCTATTAAGAACCTCAATCTCCAACCCCTTTTCTTCAAATAACAATTTTTGCCCATGATCATTTTTGTAGTTTTTAAAACTCTGTTTTGTATTATTTTAAGCATTTAAATGTATTTTTTGTCTATCATTCTTGTACTTTTTTGATATTTTTGAAATACAATCCTTCATGCTGATAAAAATACAAAAACAATACATATTAATACAAAATTAATACATTCTATATTTTTTTCATACTTTTTTGTGTACTGTATTATTTTCATATTTTATATCTTTTTTGTACTTTTAATTGTTCCAGATGAAAAAATACAAAAATAATATATGTGATACAAAATTAATATATTCTATATTTTTTTTGTATTTTAATTCTTAAAGGTGAAAAAATACAAAAATAATATATGCTAATACAAAATTAATACATTCTGTATTTTTTCTATACTTTTCTATGGACTGTATTATTTTTATACTTTGGAGAGGAAAATAGAGAAATAATACAAAAGTACAAAAACAATACGTTTTTACAGGTCATGTGTATTATTTCTGTATTATTTCGAAAAAATAAAGTATATTAAAAATATATTTTTCTGTGTTTGGCTTTTAAAAAGTCTATTATTTTTGACCTAAATTGGAACCAAGATTTAGAGGGTTCCAAATTTGGTCATTAAAAATATACTTTTTTTGTATTATTTTAGTATTATTTTCTTGTATTATTTTTGTATTCATTTTCGATATGGGCAGGGCTCTAATTGGCGACTAATTTAGTTGCCATGGCACCTAAAAATTTTGTTTGGCGCCTAAAATTTCTCTGTAAGTCGCCAAATAGGCGACCATTTTAAATTGATTCAGCGATTGTCAAATTCCTGAACTATAAATATATTTTCAACATTTTTTTTCTAAAGAGGAGAAAAAATGTTTAAAAGTTAGCAATGGTTATGCGCCTGGCGACTAAAAATTTGTATTGGCGACTATATTTTTTGGAGTAGGAACCAACTGGTGCCTAAATTTTAAAAGTCACTTAGAGGCCTGCCCTTGAGTCTCTTGTTCTATATATTCACATGTAAAACTTTTATCCCCTATTGTGGCCCCACCCTATCCACAGGATATGATTTGAACAATTTTAGAATCAAGAAGCTCATATTTTGAAAAGTTTACATTAAATGTCCATTAAATTACTTTAAATCAAAATTTTTGAAACTATTGAATTTCACCTGGGGACAACAATAAGAACTTTCTTTTATGTACATGTACATTGCATGTAATTTTTAGGTCACCTGAGTAAAAATTACATGTAATTTTTATGTCACCTGAGTCACTTGGGTGACCTATTGCTATCTGTATTTGTCCATCATCGTATATTTTATAACATCTGAAAGTTTTCAGCCTTTTCTCTGGAACCACTGATCCAATTTCAACCAGTTTTGGCATATAGCATCTATTGGTAGAGGGAAAAAAAATTCTTAATTTCATGGTCTCTGCCCACCAGGGGCCAGAGAGGTGTGGCTAAAACTATCAAAATTAATGCAATCTTTAAATTGTAATAAGCATTGAGCCATTTGCCAAAATTGTGAAATTCATGGCCTCAGGGTTGAAGTTCTGGTGTTAGGACAGGGCTCTATAGGTCATATAGTGAAAATGCATAAATTCTTCAAAAATCTTCCCATGTATGTTTAGCTGACAAACTAAATAATATTCTCTGCTTTTGAGTATTCATCAGGGAAATTTAGTGTATGGTTATGATGAGAAAGAGTGTTTATTTTTCAAAATTGTAAAATTTATAGCCTCTGAGACAGGGGTTCTGGAGTCAGGGTGGGGCTCTATTACGGTAAGATCTTGTATGGGAATGTTTACTCTGCTTTAAGAGAACTTATTCCCCTTTGTTTTTCACATGATAATTAATCAATGTGAATAATGTAATTATTAGAGAGATTAAGTAAAAGTATAATGTAAAAGGAATTTTTAACTTATAATAAGAAAATTACTTTCAAAGATTTTAATAGTCAGATGGATTTTTAAATAATAGATGAATAAAAATGAGACAAAAATATCATATTTGTACATCAAATATTATTCAAAGACCAAGAGAGGTCATTCAGGGATAGGATTTGTGCTGGATATACTTTTTGAACATTGTGTTTTATGTTAAAGTACTGTTGTAGTGTTTGATGATAGTGATGGAGTGTAGAAAACACTTCAGTAACTGTATACAGGAAAGTTTTTGAGTTGGTGCTGATTACCAAATTAAGTATTTTGTTGATCCCTAATCATCCTTTTTCTTTCAGTTTATTTTGTGTTATATAATTATTTACTATTCCATGGATCCTTTACATTGTTGTATTATACTCAGGTGACTGTTAAGGCCTTGGGCCTCTTGTAATACAAAGAGAGGTGATGCAATTGATCATTGTGGCCAATGGCCTCTTGTTATTTAAATTTAATCACCTTGACCATAGAGTACTTGCAAGAATCATTCCTTAAACACTCTAGTTTTTGATATATATTATTCATGTATGTTATATTAATTGCATTACAGAGTGTATTCCATTCCATGTGCTTGGGCTGTTTTAGGAGACAAAAAGGTAGTGTCCTTAACATACATGGTGTAACGATATACTGTAATGGTATATTGTGATGTATTTGACTTAAAGTCAGTTACTAGTGCAGCAATTCAGAAAACCATTTTATTTTTGATATAGTAAAATTTAGAATTCATATCATTTAAGCACTTATTTCATAAAATGAATATATGACTTTAAACATACTGTAATAATTAATGAATAATTGATTCTACGACTCTAATGTACATGTTATTAAAGTTGTACATGTATTTGTAGATTAAATAATACCTTTATTCTTAAAAGTATTACAGTACTGTTATAATTTTTGAAAAGTTGGTTTTTGGTTCTTTTTATAGAGAAAGAATGAAAAGTGATACTTATCAGTATGCATCATAACACACAAATCAAAATATTAATATATCTTGATAAGTTTTTTCTTGTGTCGATACTCTTTATCTTTGTTTTTGCAAAGAAAACCTGAAATGAATTACTTTGTTTATTTTAGCTTGTCAAGCCAAATGATGATGATTATGATCACTTCTGGGTAGATTTTAATACAGGAACAAAGAGAATAACCGTATTTTGTGAACAGATAAATGATTCAGTGGTATGAGGTTTTAAATATTTATTTTTAAGTTTGAATTAAAAATATTTAGAACTGAATATCATTTAAACATTTGAATCCTATTGTTATATAACAATTTTCTTCATTGCAGAAAGAGAGTGAATTTTGGGAAACCATTTCTATCAGGAATGAAGATGTAAAGGAAGTAAAAATTCAGAGTATGTGATAAAATCGTAATCTCTGGTTTAGATTTGTGAACTGTGTATCCTTAATCACTTTTGCACAACTTCAGGATTTTTGCTATTTAATAAAAATATTTTATCAGTGTATAAGTGCAAATTGCAAAGACACAAATCTCCTGCTTCATAGAACACTTTCATTATTTCAGAGAAAAATGGAAGTGTGAATCTTGAAATCATATTTGAAAAACCAATTGGAATACTGTTTCCAAGTCAATCATCTGTAAAAGGTCAACATATGCAGATACATTTTCCCACAGATGCAGATGTTGAGTTTGTAGTAGAGAAGACACTTCCAGATTGTTGTAATATCATTGAGGTGAGTTCATTTAAACAAAATGCTTTCTTTGTTATACTCCCCACTTGAAAAGCAGGGGTATGTAGTAATGGATGATGTCCATCCGTACACTTGGGGATACCCATTTCTTATCTGCAGCTTCTCCTGTACTACTGAATAAAATATAATGAGACTTTCACATAATCTTTATTATGTAGTGCCATTGTGCATCTCTTGAATATTGTTTTATCTTATTGGGGGGTGTCATTTTGTGAGTGCAGTGCTCACAGTACCTCTAGTTTGTTAATGCTGGATTGTATTATTGATCTGTATGTGTCACAGTATGTTTCATTGATGGAAAAGCCCATTGCTTAAGAAATCTTCATATAGGTGGTCTTGAAAAAAAACTGTTACTAAATAGTTTAGCTTTAATGGGTTGATCAAGGGAAGTAGTTTTCTTAAGAGAAAATATTCAGTGGATGTAAATTTATTTGTACTTCAGTACTTTATTTTAAATGTTCAACCAACAATTAAAGCCAGGCATTCAAACAAGCTTAAAGAATAATGCTACATCCCCACATTGTAGCAATAAATAATGACAAATTTTAGTTCATTATTTTGTATCCAAGTATGAATAGATATGTGTGTGTTTTTTTCTCATTAAAATAAATATAAAAATGAGTTCGAATATTGCAGAGCTCACAGAAAGCATCTACAGTGGAGTTTCCTGTAAAGATACAGAGAGATTTCTTCTGTGTAAGTTAGAAAAATTCTTATAATAAATGGTATTTACAACCTTATAATGGAGGGGATTAAGGAAATAAATAAAAGGATCTATTGTACTTAATGGTCATGATCTATCAGTCTATATTGATTCGCTTTTATATTTCTATTCTTTTCTTTGAAAGATTCTTTAAGTTGTACTTAGTTATTAATTAATTAAGGCTGTTGTATTGATACACATATTAATATCAGCATAGATACAATTTACATATTAAAGTTGAATATAATTCTATAATGCCTTCATAACAAACTACCAGATCATTCTTGTGGCTCTGATTTCTTTATCTAATATATGGTATACTAATTAAAACATTTATAAAAATATGAGATTACCATAAGTGTTTATGTCTCTGATGGCCCAAAAGTCATCTGACTTTGTGTTGCTTAATTTATGAGTACCTAGTATTTTGTTCAAATTCTGAATAGACTGATTAAATTCAAAGATTATTGTGCACATTTAATGACAGTTTTATACAAGAAATGATTGTTAGTTAAAGGCATGAATTTTAGCTCACTTGAGCCAAATGCTCAATTGAGCTTTTCTGATCTAAAAGGGTAAAGGTGTCCATTTGTCTTTGTGTCATTTGTCATCTGGGAACTTTGCACATTTTTGATTTCTTCTCTATTACTACTAGGCCAGTTTCATCCAGACTTGCCACAAAGCATATGTGGTTGAAGTTTGTTTGGATGTCCACATTCTATCAGGGAGAGATATTGAAAAATTATAACAAAAATCTTTTCAAGAACAACTGGGCCAGAGAAAGAAAAAAAAAACTTGTGCGAAAGCTTCCTTATTGAGTGTAGATTCAGATTTGTTCTAATTATGGCCCTATGGGATAAGATGAAGCTGCAACAGGGGTTCAAGTTTTACATAAGAATGTTTAGGAAAAATATAGTGTAGATTCAAGTTTATTCAAATCATGACCCTGGTGTGGGGTAGGGCAACAATAGAGGCTTAGAGTTTTAAATGGTGATTTGGAATAAGATATTTGAACATAGATAATCAAAGATTATAGTGCTCACCTCAACCAATGTTATCTTTCAGAAAGGCTAAGTCTCAAACAAAACAAATGTTCTGATAGTGACTAAGTGTACATCCATAAATGCAACATTTATGTTTGGTCTCGGGTAGGATTTTTAGTAACTTGGGAATGAACTTGCTAAAAAAAAAATCTTTTTTAACAATCTGGAAAATGTAAGATTCAGCACCTAAAGCAAGCGTGGTAGTGTGCATCCCTAGATGCATTCCATGGAAGTTTGGTTTGCATAAGACTTAGAGTCTTAAGCAAGTCTGGTAGCTTTCAACCCTGCATAAATCATCCATGCAAGTCTGGTTTAGGTAGGGCTAAAAGTTACTTGGGAATGGACCTGCTCCAAAAACTTTAACCTATTCACTCATCTGGAAAATGTAGGTGAAATCCAGGATCCAATGCAAATTTGATAGTGAGTCTCTGCATCCCTAGATCATTCATGCAAGTTTAAACACCATAAGTCTTACAATCACCTGAGAATGGACCTGCTTCAAACATTTTAACTTGGTCACTTAATTATCTGGAAAATGTAGATCAGATCCAGCATCTAAAGCATTTTGGTAGTGTGCATCCCTAAATGCATTCATCCGAACAAGTTTGGTCCAAGGACTGTATATATTAATGGACCTGCTCCAAAAACTTTTAACCTGTTCACTCATCAAGAAAATGTAGGTCAGATCCAGCATCCAAAGCAAATCTGGTAGCTTTCATCCATACATTAATCATCCATGAAAGTTTGGTAACCATAGGGCATATTGTTACTTTAGAATAAACCTGCTCTAAAAACTTAAATTTGGTCACTTATCCAGAAAACAGGCCAGGCTTTGGGGCAATAAAACTAAGACAAGCTCACTTTTGATCTCAGTCTCACTTTTCTGCTATTAATTCCTTTTGTAAAAGTGAGACTGGGATAAAAAGTGAGCTAGTCTAGCCCAGGGAGAGAATGATTACTTGGTTGAGAGTTGTGGCCTATTGACCTATTGTTTTAGGAAGTGCCAAAGCCTGCTGCTGAGAGAAATGCTCGAAAAGCCTCTAGTCCCTGTACACCCTTGCACCTAATTCAAAATAACAGGAAGATAGAAAACACAGAAACTGAACAACACATGGCAACTGAACTGAACAAAGAAAGAAAGAAAGACGATGACAAGGATTTATTGCAAAACAGAAGGAGGAAAGTCCAGGAAGATGAAGTTTCTCTGTCATCAAAGGCATCCAATGCTGCATCTCCACTGAAAATCTCTTCAGCCACTTTCTATTCAAGTGTGGTGGGCAGAAATGAACATAAAGGTATATTTAGATCTTGTTTTCATTGTCATACTTTTAAAAATTGTTAGATGCTGGACAGGGTATGAATGATATTTGCTTTTAACATACTTTTATCTCAGTAAATTGTGATTACTGTTTTTGTCAAACTTTTGAAATTAAACGATGTTGCTTTGTAAGAAATCATACATAATTTCATTGTTGTGCAATTTTTTTTAGTTTCCACCCCAAGGACACCAGGTTGCAGAAAGAAAAAGAAAGTGAAAACACCTGTTGTAACTGTCACGCCACCAGTTAAAAAGTTCAGATGTAATGCACAGAAAGTGCAGAAAAATAGAGCAGAGAATGAGGAAAATAAAAAAGAGGAAAGCAGCCAACCTAATGTTAAACAACCAAGTTTTAAAGGTACTTGAAATATGTTATTTTCACTAAAAATAGTACAAAATCAAAAATATTTGTAAAGGATAAATTTATGATCATACATATTGTCCAGATTAATGAAGTATCACATTACAGGCATATTTTTTTTAAATAGATGATTGATATAAGTGTAAATTCTGTTCCCCTCAACTTTCCTGCTGAAGGTGAAGCGTCCAGATTATTGGCATTCAAATTACTGAGGCTCGACCGTATTTAATTTTCATTTTCAATCTATTTTATGTTATTCTTCTTAGGTGATGCTTTTACTATGGTAGAAAAAGTAACAGCAGCTAAGAATGTTTTAGCATCAAAGAGTTTACCTGAAAAGAAGACTGAAAGAACTGAATCAGACATGGAAGATATTAACTTTGATGATGGTGATGCTGTTGAAAACTTTGGAAATCAAGACAGTGCACAGCTAGATTTTGTTGAGGAGTCAATTGATGCACAAGCTCCTCTAGTTCAGAAAAAGGCATTAAAAATGAAATTAAAGGAAGCAAAAAAATCAAATTTGAAGTCCAAATGTGAGGAAGTTGTGAATGACAAGGAATCATTAGATACAAGAACAAAGTCCGACTTGACCAAAGAGTTCAAAAATATCATATCAACATTTGCTAGAAAAGATGAAAAAATTTCTGAAACAGAAGATTTGAAAAGTAACAGGCCATCAAAGTTATCCCCAAATATTGTGAGGCCCAACAAAAATAACACAACAGAGAATGTGGAAAATACTACATCATCTAATGATGAAAGACAACAAATATTGACATCTAGAAACAATACATCAAACAGTGTTGAAGTGAAAATAGGGCTCACAGAACAAATGGATGAAAGTGAAACTGACTCACAAACTGATAGCGTCTGTCTTGTGACAAATGCAGGTATCAGTGTACAATCTGATGCTGAAGAAACAAGGAATATTAATAGTCAACAGGAGACTGCAAAAAACACAGATGGTAAAATCAAAGAGAACAAAATATTTAAAGCAAACACAGAAAATAAAGTATCAAATGGTACTGCAAGAAGCAAGAAGAATCCTGAGAAAAGACAAGGTAGAAAGAGAAAACCTGCAAAGAACTACAGTAACTACAGTAAGCAACAAAATTTATCACCAGTTGTGGAGATTGAGAGACTGGATTATGGTAAATTCAAGAATGTTTATAATGATAAAGAATTAAAAACTGACAAAGTGCATGCCTCAGAAAAATCTGGTCAAACAGGAAAACATCGTGGCAGACCAAAGAAGGCAGCAGCATTAGATAAGAAAACATTGAAAAGGCCCTCAACAGGAAGTCTGTTTTCCTTATCAGAAAAAACTCAAAGCTATTTAGAGCATGGAAACAAAAGAGATGCAGTATTTCATTGGAAGGACAGTGATGAAGAAGGTGACTCCTGCAGTACTAAAACAACTCTTAGACCATCTTCTCAAGCAGATCAAGATACCCAAGAAAAGAGTACAGAAAGTGAAATAGATGTCATTCAAGAGAGTCAGGACATTGCTAAGAATGCCTATGAATGTGCAAGTAACAAAAGTCTGAATACAGACCTTAGCTTCAAAGAGAGTCCTTGGTACAAATGTATGCCAGAGCACTCCAAATACAACACTAAATGGTTTAAAACATACGGGAAAGTTAGAAATCATCAAAGAGAGAGAATGAGAGGTATTCAATGTGTAGGAAGCAGTGGAGATAGTCCTGCTGTTCAAAAATTCTCTCAAAGTGTTACCAAGACATTGTCAGTGCAGATGACTTATTCTTCACAATGTGTTTCGTCTCCCAGAGGAGATGCTGATATTGATCCTTATATCTTTGATGATAATTGTTCTGAATACAGCAACAATATGATATCATCTAAAGAAAAACTTACTAAACAGAAGTCAGCAAAGAGAGGAGGAAGAAAAAATTCCAGTGATTTGGTACATCATGATAAAGAAAGCAGTAGTTGGAAACGGAGCAGATCAAAAAAAGTACAAGATGACCATGAGAGAAAAGAATGGAATCTTGAAAGTTGTAATAAAGTTTCAAACAAGAAAGGGGACGTATGCAACTATGAAACAAGGATGGGAAGTAGTCTTACCAAGTATTGGTACTGCAACCCAAAAAATTCTGTTTCTGTATATCAGATGGAAAATGTTTGCCAAGCGAGTAGGGAAAATTTGCCTCCAAAGTCAAAAAAATCAAAGAGAACAGAGAGACAAACATGCAGACAAATTAAGTCTGATGATGAGAATAATTATGCAATCATTTGTCTATCAAGTCCAGAGGAAGAGTGTGATGATGGTTCCATGTCCAGTCATATGTCGGAATCTCAAAATTTCTCTACCTCAAATGCAAAGTCATGGAAACCAACAAATTCTTACTCATTTGGAAAAGAGACTACTTGTGTAATTATTGTGGATTTTCTTTCTTTTTGGAGGCCAGTTTAAAATTTATAATATTCAGAATTAGAATTTATCTGTAAGTCTCTCCCTATTAAAGTACACTTAGTAAATAAGACAATGATATTTGAAATGAATCTTTTCTTCTTGCAGAATGGTATTAAAGATGTTAGTGAGAGTAGTGCTGATTCAAGTCCAGTACCTAGAAAAAAACACAAAAAGAGGTTTGTTTAGTGATTTAATATCATGTAAATATTTCGCAAAGATAATTTAGTCATTTGATATTTAGAAATATTGAAAAAAAAATCATTATTCTTGATCTTTTGTTTTTTAAAGGTCAAAGGTTTTGCAGCCTCTGGATTCTAGTCCTACCAAAACACCAAATCCTCAACCAAAAACTCCAGAATCTATTCTATCGAAGTTCAGAAAAAATTGTCAGGTACTTGCGTACCAAAAAATTATCAATAGTTCCTGGTTCAGTGTAATTTTAATATTGGAGATGTTTTGATGATATTGATTTTCTGCTGTAGAAATTGGTTGAAGAATCAATTTGCTCTGAGGAAAATGTCATTTCAAGGTAAATGTAGAGTCTATACTTCAAGTTACCGGTATGTATGATATTTATTTGAACAATTAAATTTATTACGACTCTAATGAATTATTGTGTTTAGGGTGAAATACCTATCATACTTCCTCCCCCCAGCTTATCCTTTGCAGTATTTAATTTTTTCGCTGTGCATTTCTGTATGAAATATTTTTTAGACATAGAAATTAAAAAACCTGGCCCCAAGACCATAAACAGAATAGACTTAAGTCAAAATTTCATATAAGTGTAACTATTGAAATCATTTTGAAATTGAAATTTTCTTCATGTGTTTGTATTTTTGTCTGTGTTTTTTTTTTATTTGTATCTCATACAAACTTTCAAGTTTGGTAACATTTTTTATATAAAACTGGAGATGTTAAAAATCAAAATTTTGACAAGTCTTTTCTCAGTTTATGGTCTTGGGGCCAGAATGGTGTCTGAGTACCATTACATTGAGTTTTGATTACCTTCCATAATTTTTATCTATAATAAAGTTCCCTTTATTTCCAGGAAAGCCATGTACAATATGTCAATTTGTTTATTTCAGTTTGCAGACCCCTCTTCTACCTATCAGTCCATACATTGAAAGGCATGGACAAAATGAGGAATGTGAAAATGTATGATTCTTTATGCTTAATCAAAGTGTAAATGTAGAAATTTAATTTGTATTTTTTTAAAGTTAAAGTAGGTAAATAGATAGTAGTTTGTGTCATCAAGAAATGTGATTAAATGTATTGATATAGTGTAATAAATTACAGAGAGAAGATCAGGCCACTTCATCACAAAAATCTGAGACTTCTCAAGAAAGCCAAGGTAACGAACTAAAAGATTCAGTGTTAAAAATAATCATGGAAAAGTCTATGGTAGATTAAATGCTTGTGTAGTAAAAACTTTGATGGAATATATTACCTAGTTGTAAAACACTTTCCAAACTGGTGTGCAGTGCAGTGACATTTTTAAGCCTTACCAGGGCTTTCAAAAAAAGGAAGGTCTTTTCACAAGGAATACTAGTACACATGTGAAGTATGACAGCCCTTGCACCAACTGCTCAAAAGTTATGGCCAAGGTTAAAGTTTTTTCCCAAAAGTAGGTCAAACTCCAAGGTCAAAGGGTCAAAATTCTATCCAAAACGTATCCAAAGGAGGGTCTTGTCACAAGGAATACACGTGAAGATTGAAAGCCCAAGCAACAACTGTTCAAAAGTTGAGTCTCATTAGATTTTGCAAAAGTGGGTCAAACTCCAAGGTCAAAAGGTCAAATATGATGGAACCCAAAGAAAGGACTTGTCACAAGAAATATACACGTGAAATATGAAAGCCATACCTCCAACCAATCAAAAGTTATGGGCAAGGTTAAAGTTTTTGCGGACAAACAGACAGACAGATGGACAGAGCAAAAACTATATGCCCCTGAATCTTCGATTACAGGGGCATAAAAAAGTGCCATATTAAACTGGAGGTATATTTATGTTGTTTTTCATATTGGCATAGCTCTAGCTATGAAGAAATTAGCAATTTTGCTCAAAAGCATGTGTTTTTACATTAAAAACCATTTGATTGGACTTTTTAAAATTTCTTTAATATGTATATAGTTTATGTAAAATTTTAGAATTTCAAAAAGCTGAATTTTAAGAAAATTTATTTTAGAGTCCATTGAAAGTGGCTGGAACCCCTTGAAGAGAAAATATGCAATATCCTTTTATGCTTTTGAACTACAAAGTGTGTTACATTTGTAAATAATATTACAGAATAATTAAACATTATTCAAAAGAAATTTCTGAATTGAATTTGTGACATTTGAAATAAAGAACTTGAGTATAATCACTCACTTGCCATTTGAATTAATTATTACTATATATAGTTTTTATTCTAAAAATAATTCACATCTTAGTAAAGTACTTTTATGTACTTGATTTAATAAAGGCTTTTAAACTTCTTGAGAAAAGGATGATATGTATGAATAGACTAGAGAGAAGTTTATTTAAAAAAATAAATATTGAACTTGACAAAGACAGGAAAAGGAGAAAAATTTAATCACAGAAGAGGAACAAGTAAGGGAAAATACTTGTCAAGCTAACTGGTTGAGAGGGATTCAGACAACACAACAATACAAAAGAGGTAAGCCTGAGCTAAAATTGTTTCAAAATCTTATAGTTTACTTCAAAAATTACAATTGTTAATAAAGTATGACATAAGTACATAAGTGTATGCCTCTTGACTTTTTTGTTAGCTCACCTGAGTCGAAAACTGAAGTGAGCTTTTCTGTTTCCTGTCATTGTTGTCATCTTTTCACAATTTGATTTTCTCCTCCAAAACTATTAAGCCATTTCAACCAAACATAGTACAGAGCATGTTTGGGTGAAGGGGATTCAATGTTTGTTCAAAGGAAGGGCCATGCCTTTTTAGCTCTGCTGGTCAGAGACGAGAAGAGCTCGTGTGATAGTAAGGTGTCTGTCTGTCCGTCTGTAAACAATTTTTCAAAACGCTACTCCTCCTACAGTTTTAGTCTGATTTCAATATAACTTGGCAAACAAGTAGACTACACTAAGATACATTAATTCTGTATATCGGTTTTTAATTTTGATGAATGGTGTTGCCATGGTTACTAAAATTAGAGATTTCTGGGAAGTACTTTCAAAATGCTACTCCTCCTACAGTTTTGGTCTGATTTCAATATAACTTAGCACACAAGTAGACTACACTATGATAAATAATTCTACCTATCGGTTTTTGATTTTGGTGAACGGTGTTGCCATGGTTACTAAAAATAGAAATTTCTTTGAAATACTTTCAAAACGCTACTCCTCCTACAATTTTGATCTGATTTCATTAGAACTTGGGACACAAGTAAACTAGACTATGATACATAATTCTGTCTATCTATTTTTTGATTTCAATGAACGGTGTTGCCATGGTTACTAAAAATAGAAATTTCTGTGAAACTCTTTTAAAACCTTACTCCTCCTACAGTTTTTGCAATCAGACTAAACACATTGAACAGCAAAGTTAGTATTAATCATTTTGATATGGAATCATCGTTAAGTAGTTAGATTTAAGTTTGTTCAAATCATGGCTCCTGAGTCTAGGGTGGGGGTACAACAGGAGATCAAAATTTTATATAGGAATATACAGGAAAAATCTTTAAAATTCTTCCTTGTATGAATAGCAAAGTTATTATTAGTCATTTTGAGATGCAAGCATCCTTGGGTAGTTTAAATTCAAGTTTGTTCAGATCAGGGCCCCTGGGAAAAGGTTGAAGCTACAATAGAGGTCAGGATCATACTTTTACAAGACAGTATATAGGAAGAAATCTTTCCAAAAATGTCAAGAACACATTAAATCATATTAAATTGCAAAATATACCAATGTTATGTGGATACTTTTTAGCTCACCTGAACCAAAGGATCAAGTGAGCTTTTCTATCTCTGTCCGTCCTCCATCTTTTTCATTACATTGTGTAGATTCAAGTTTGTTCAAATCATGACCCCTGGGGGAAGGATGAGGCCATTATGGTTGGTCAAAGTTTTACATAGAAATATATAGGAGAAAATCTTCTCAAGAAAAGCAGAGCCATGATTAGTCATACTAATAAGAAATCATCCTCAGGTGGTGTAGATTCAGGTTTGTTCAAATGATAATTCCCAGGGGTAGGGTGTGGCCCCAATCATAAATGGATGGTCAAAATTTCACATATGGTAGGAATATATTGGAAAAAATCTGCTGATGAAGAACAGCAGGGCAATAGTGACTCAGGTGAGCATTGTGGCCTGTAGGCACATATCCTTATTTTACATAATGCATGTACAGCAAAAACGAGTACCATGTTGATCGTATAGATGTCGAAGCATCCCAATGTTTGTGTAATCAGTTTTAATTAAATCATAGCTCTCTTAGAGCTAGTTTTTGGTCCACAATATGGAGTCAAATTTTTTATCAATATTAAATTAAAGAGGGAATTTTTTTTTTTTAAAAATCAGCTGATGAAGAATAGTATGGTTTAAGTAACTCAGGTGAACATCGTGGCCCATGGTCTCTTGTTTTGTATTTAATTTTTGTATACATATTTGACTTTTGAAATAGAGAGACTGAGACTAGATTTGACATGCAATTATTCTTGGAAAAAAATTTTTTACCTGAAAATGTCTTTTCTTGTAGGTGATGATGAGAAAGAAAATATGTCTATTTCTGTTAGTACTGCTTCATCTCAAGAGATAGAGAGTGTAGTTTCAGAGAAAATCAGTTCATTTGGAATTGAAATACAGAACCAAATGCAGGCAAGTCTCAATTTCTTGGTACAGTATACAGTTTTTGTCAGAATGGTTATTTCGTACACCATATATCTTTATCAATCTGAAAACCTAAACTGGTAATTTTATCAGGCAAAGAAGAAACAACTTGAAAACATTGCAAGGGATGTTCTAAGATCACTGATAAAGACTTGTTTGAAGTCCCATACACAACTGAAGGAAAATAGGTATAAACTTAAAACTACTGCAAGTAAGATTTTGTCTATATACATACATTTGCAAGCTAAAAAAAAAAAACTTGAATCCAATACTTGACAGAAAAGTTTGTTACTTCCGTAAGATGTGTGATGATCCTAAAAGCATCATTTATACAAGATCAGAACTACACGATAGATTTCTTATCTGAGCTTTACTTACGGTTGTTTGTAAAGTTTGTGTCATGCTTTTCAATCAAATATGAGATAAATTGAATAAATCTGGTTCAGTTGAAGGCAACCTTTTAACAAGAGGCCCAGGGGCCACATCACTCACCTGTGCACTCTGGCTAGGAGAAAGCAGAAATCAGTTCAGTCTTGAAAAGTTTTGATATAAAAGTGGTTCGAGGGGGGGGGGGGGGATTTGAATTTTATACTTCAAAGGGATGCTTTTGAATTAATATGACAAATAATGGCTATGCTGTTCTTAAGAAGACAATTTTTATTGATGTATCATATGTATTCCTTTGTATAACTATGATCCCCTGTTACGGCCTCTCTATTCTTCTGGGGGGTCATGATTTGAACAAAATTTGAATCTACATTACCAAAGGATGCTTCCATTTATATGACTTATTATGGCTTTGCTGTTATTGAGAAGAAGATTTTTAAAGAGTTTTCCTATATATTCCTATATAAAACTTTTGATTGCCCATTGTGGCCCCACCCTACCCCCAGGGGTCATGATTTGAATAAACTTGAATCTACACTACATGAGGATGCTTCCATATAAATTTGACCAATCATGGCTTTGTTGTTCTTGAGAAGAAGATTTTTAAAGAGTTTTCCTATATATTCCTATGTAAAAGTTTGATCTCCCATTGTGGCCCCACCCTACCCCCAGGGGTCATGATTTGAACAAACTTGAATCTACACTACCTGAGAATGCTTCCATATAAGTTTCATATTTTCAAGCACAGTGGTTCTTGAGAAGATTTTTAAATGATGCCATTAATTTTTCACGAATTCTCAATTATCTCCCCTTGGAAGAAGGTGTGGCCCTTCATTTGAACAAACTTGAATCCCCTTTACGCAAGGATACTTTTTGGCAAGTTTGGTTGAAATTGGCCCAGTGGTTCTTAAGAAGAAGATGAAAATGTGAAAAGTTTACGACAACAACAACAACGACAGACAACGGACAAATTTCGATCAGGAAAGCTCACTTGAGCCTTCGGCTCAGGTGAGCTAACAATGCATTATATCTTTTATATTTATTATCAATTTTAAGAATGATGTCAGTATTACTTTTACTCACTTCAACCTATGATATTTGTTTATCTAAGGGTTTCTATCTCTATGTTATAGTCAAAGTACATGTATACAAAATTCCAAATAGTTATATGGTCAAGTGCACCTCATTGTCCAGATCTCTTTTCTAACTACACCAATAAAGCTATTGTTTCATCAGAAATTTCTTGGGTTCAAGTAGAAATCAAATAATTTTCTTTAATTTTGTTCCAGAACTAAATATATTGAAGAATTTCAACTCCGGATATCAGAAGAGTTAAAATCTCTAGAGAAGGATGTGATAAGTCTCAAAAAGACAGAGGATGAATGCCTGGTATTATTTACTTAAGTTTTCATTTATTTATACATGTACTGGTAAAACCCTGAAAAAAATTTGTGCGAATGTATGTAGAGAGAGAGATATACATACAGTCAAGCATCATTAGCCCAGATGCTTGTGTTCCCAAGCAAATTGTTTAGATAAATAAAGTGTGGAGACTAATGAAACAAACTTGGTATATAAGGATATAAATTGTTCCTTTGTCCAGATTTCTGATGTCCAGATTAACAAGGCTCCACTGTATTTCCATTGGTGAAAGTTGACAAAAAACTGAATTCTCTTGGTGATGGTGAATTTTCTATAGGCGGGGGGTCTAAAAATCAGTGGTTATCCTCAGATAATTTTTACTGGAAAAGACCTGTTGTTGAAAATATGTAACTTGTCATTAAACAATATAACATGTTTATCTTTGTCTGTATGAAGATTGCAGTTAAAGTTATAGGTACGTGTGTTCAACTTGCATGTTCAGCAGATAATAAATAAATACCGAGTAGGTCAATCTTTTTCCAATCAATCAAGTAGATACATGTACTTGATTGCATGGATATAACTGGTTACAAGGTTTTGACAAACATTATTAACTTTTCTTGTAAACCTTTTTATTCAGGTGTATTTTGAAGAAAAACTTAAAGAGATACAAAGACATACCAATAGTCAAGAAACAAGGTAATGTGTGCATCATAGTGACAAGAAATTGTCTCTTTAGATGAAAGATTATATATCTTTTACACTAAAAATCCCACTGTCTTATGATTTATTTATTTTATTCTCTAGCATACAAAATATGGTAGCTGCAAAGGAAATTTTTGTGAAACAAATGCACCATAGTGAAGAGTGTGCTGATAAATCTCAGGTAATGATTTTACAGACTAATAAACCACTTTATTATATGATTGAATAATTTCTATCTCACTGATTGGCCAACATCCAACGATGTAGAAAAAATACTAAGATATATTCACCTGCATGTGACCTTCCAGGTGAATATCAGTATTTATTTTCTCTACATTGGTCTAAAAATAGATCGGGAAATTCCAAATTGATACAGATAGTTTTGGAAAGCTATTTCACTTGCTACTGACTTCCACTCAGGTGAATATAACATCATATATAATTTGGGGTGGGGATTGTTGTGGGGGTGGGTTCAGGGGAATTTTTTTTAATTGCCAAAATATCTGAAACAACCAGCTCAATTTTCCATATTTTGACACATTTTATTTTTTGATCCATTTCAATCATTCTGTTGATTTTTTGTAAAAATTGAATTATACATTTTCTCTTTAAGAGACTTAAAGTGTAGCATATTTACATGTGAATTTTCAATTCCAGGGTTATGTATGTTCTATTTTTACATCACATTTTACTCAAATCTACCGGTATCAACATATTTTACTAAATTTTAGTAACAAAAAGGTTGCCTTAATAAACAGCATCACACAAGTTTGCGTTTGATCAATTGATAGTTTTTAAATAAGGCACATTCTCAATTTCACTATCTTTTTACAAGGGTCTGATGGGCCATATTTCAAAATAGTGGGCAAAAATTGTGCATTTAAATTTCTTTCATATTACATATAAAGAGAAATTTGTATCCTAGAACAAAATATCAAAGTCTCAAAAAAATTGAATTTGAGGAAAATTTTGGCCTATCTATTGTGTACTACCTTAAAAACAATCTACTCTACATTTCAGGAAAAAAATGATAAACATGAAAGCTTCTTAATGGAATATAGATTCAAGTTTGTTTTCTTCAGATATTGATTATCCCTACACTACCCTTTCCTTACTTGTGGTTATATTACATGTATTACAGTTATGGATTATTTTTAATTATAAAGAAAATTTTTATAACATCAATTGCCTGTGGTAGTGAAGGTTCAAACTGCTCTAATTCATGGCCTACTTTGGAAATACTAGTAGGTCATGCTTTTAAAACCATTTTCTGTATATTTCAGAAAAAATGATAAAACTGATAAAACATGAAAACTTCTTGATTGAATATCGGATTTAAGATTTTTCAAAGATTGGTAATCATTCCCATACTCTCCTTTCTCCACTTGTAGATTTCATAATAAAACTGTGAGAGAGAGTCTTGATTCATAAGTTTTCTATTTTTTTTACAGTTTAAAGTCAAGAATTCCATTAAAAAAGAGCTGAATACATTGAAGACCAAATTGATATCCAAAAATGTAAGAGCAGTGATCTTTTTAATAATATGTACATTTTAAGATCATCTGAGTCATTCAGGTGACCTGCAATCTGTTTTTGTCCATTGTGGTTCATTTGTTGTAAACTTTTGAACATTTTCAGCTTCTTCTTACAAACTATTAAACAAATTTCAACCAATTTGGTATACAGTATATATGGGTAAAGGGGGAAAAAATGTGAATTTCATGATCTCTGCCTCCCAGAGTGCTTGATGGGTGGGGCCAAAACCATTAAAATTAATGCAATCTGCCTCTTGTTGCATATGCAGTCAACATGGGTCCAATTAATAAATTTGTCAAAGTTGAGGCCTTTAAACTCTCTTTGAATCTTTTGAATCTTTTTTAAACATTTTACATCTTTGTCATTAAGGTTGGGGCAAGTCCATATGACTACAATCATAAATACATGTAGTTTGTCATAATAGCTGACTGTTTACTTGGGTGCAGTAAATGAATAAATCGGTATTGTTGATTTTTTTTCTTAGCAACAAGAAGAATTGGATAACATAAAGCACTGTCTTCAGAGGTCCCTTCTACTGGATTCTTAGCAAGTGATCCACACACACACACACACACAAAATGTATTTTAGTTTTATTTATATTCCTTAACAACACATTATGCAAATATCCTCTTGCATGAGAGTCGTAAATCTGAAAATCACAATCATTGTAAATTGTATATCACAATATTATGTCTGCTATGATTTCTGTTTCTGCAAAAAAAAAATATTTATACATATATATACTGGTACTACATGTAAAATATACCCAATAATTGGAAGAAATATGAATTGGGAAAACTTGTCTGTATTTTATTGAATGTGTAATTAGTATTCCTGTATGATCTAATTGCTGAATGAAGCAAACAAGCTTTACTGTGATACATGTATTAATATTCAATATGAATTCTCTTGAAAGCATCACACTGCCACAGACAACATTCTGTTATTCACACAGAAAATGGGCATGTTAAAAGACCCAGATAATTTTGTAATCTAAACTTAAAAAAATTAAGTTAAAAAAAACATTCCTGGCAATTTTGGGCCTATACAGACCTGAAATGTATTTAGTTTGGACAGATGGGCATCCAATTTTGTGATAAATTGCAATACATTTCAGTATGTACATGTATATGTTTGTTGTTGATACTGTTTATAATTACATTATAGTAAATAAATTATACATAAATGTTTTATGGTATTGTCCAGTATTATTGATCAGAAGAATGTCTACATGATATATTTATCATCAAGTGCTGGCTGCTGATGGGATCCCTCTGGCCCCACTGTCAGGTCTCCAAGGCTTTGCCTTCACTCTGTAGAACTTGGTCCCAACAGGTACCTTGAATCTGTTCTGTGGCTAAAATAAATATTAAAACATTTAACTTTTAATTCAATATTTTGAAGCCTGTAACTCTCCCAATACAAGTCTAAAGTATGTCATTTTTGATATCATGTATTGACAAGCATCAGTGTCCTAGTAAATGTACATGCATTAACTTTACCGAAAGCTATCCTCTTGATTAAGCTTTAATACAGTAAAACACGCTTATAGCAAAGTGCCAGGGACAAAAAAATTTGATACATTATAAACATAATTCATTATAGCTATTAAGTTCACTATACATTTCTAAACCATGGGGAAAGAAATGCTTTGCTGTAAGTGTGAATTCATTATAAGCGTGTTTACTACAACCATGTTTTACTGTATACATACCTGGTATATATGTTGGTGCAGGTTAGCATTGTAGTAAACTAGAAAACTGACAAGGCCATACAGATTTGATCTTTTGGCCTTGATAATTGTTCAAGTGAAATTAAAGTAAAATGTTGTCTCCCTCAAATCGTTCTTATTCTCTATAGTCAGCAAAGGTAGAAAAAGATCTATTTATTGTATGAAATGTAAAGGTTGCTTTTCCAACCCATGAAAGTATTAGTGAATAGATAGAAATCTGTATTTGAACTCCTTTAGTATTAAAGAGAGAATATACTGTCATTAAGGACAAAATACTGATGGGTAATATTTTCTTTGAATCAAGAAAACGAGACAAGTTCACCCAGGTCTCCCAGTATCTATTGACCTTGACCAAGTCTTCCCATATCCATAAAGGTTTGTAACAATTCCTACCTTACTACAGAATACATTGGTCAACATGTCACAAAGCACCATTCAAGCAATTATATATCAATAATATTCTTTAATCAGTGGACTTAAAATTCTTTGCATTTTCCTATAATTATCCCTTTATCAATTAAAAACATAACTAATAGAGGATTATGAAGATCACCTTGACAAAGTAAGGCAAATCTCGCACTAAATTTTTTCTAGTACATGTAAGTGTGCATATCTGCAAGTTTGGTTTCAGTAGGACTTGTAAGCTACTTAGGAATGGACCTGCTCATAAAACTTTAACCTGGTCACTCATCTGGAAAATATAGGTCAGATCCAGCATCTGAAGCAAGTCTGGTAGTGTGCATCCCTAAATGCATCATCTCCTTAAGTTTGGTCCAGGTAGGTCTTAAATTACTTGGGAACCTGTTCACTCATCCAAAAAATGTAGGTCAGATCCAGCATGAGAAGCAAGTCTAATACTGTCCATCCCTAGATTCATCATCCATGGTAATTTAGTATATGTCCTGCTAATAGTCACTCATCTGGAAAATGTTCGTCAGATCTAGCATCCAAAGCCGATCAAGTAGTGCATATCCCTAGATACATCATCTCTGCAACGTAGGTATAGGTAAGGCTTATAATTACTTGGGAATGGACCTGCTCCGAAAACTTCAACCTGTTCATTCATCCACAAAATGTGGGTAAGATTCTGCATCTGCATCAAAGATTGGTAGTGTCCATCACTATATGCATCATCAATGCAAGTTTGATCTAGGTAGGGCTTACAGTTCCTTGGGAATTCACTCGTTACACTTTAATTTGGTCATTCAACCTGAAAATGTTGGTCAAATCCAGCATCCAAATCAAGTCTGATAGTTTGCATCCATAAATGCATCATCTACTGTGGAATCATCATAATTCGTGGAGGCCAACTTTCATGGATTGCTTAAAAGGTTCGTGGGGATGTCATTTCAAGTATTCACTTGTATCTGACTGAAACCCCAGTATATTAATTTGTGGAGGATGTAAATTCATGGATGAAGGGTAGCCATGAATTCCACAAAGAAATCTAATGACTCCACAGAATGCTAGTTTGGTCCAGGTAGAGCTAATAGTTTCTCATCTGGAGAATGTAGGTCAGATACAGCATCTGAAGCAGGTCGGCTAGTGTACACCCCTTAATGCGTCATCCCTGCAAGTTGGGTAAAGGTGAGGTTTATAACCATTTGGAAATGGATTTGCTTCAAAAACTTAATTTGTTCATTCATCCATAAAATGTATGTCAGATCCAGCATGCAAAGGAAATCTGAAAGCGCCCATCCCTAGATGCATCTTCTATGCAAATTTGGTCCAGGTACATGGTAGGGGTTATAGTTACTTGGGAATGGACTTGCTCCTATAACTTTAACCAGGACACCAATGTCCGTGGTATAGCACAAGCTCATCTTGACTTCGTCAAGGTGAGCTAAATATACTATTTACAGATGGAGAGTTATTTCAGTGTTTTACACAGGATTCTAAGAAATGTATATATTTGTACCTTTTTAGCCTGACAGTACTCCTTCTCTGTAATTTCTGCCAGTACCCATGATTTCTTTGTTTCACCGGGATCTGTAAACAATGTTTCATCATTATTAGCAAATAACTAACCCATTTTTATCAAGAAAGAATTTAGACAAATATAGTTGAACTTTGTTATCTCGAACACCAATATCTGGTATACCAGGATATGCCAAGGTGAGTTGACAGTCCCAACCACTTTTTCTTTATGTTTTTTATTCTTGTTAACTCTATTCAAGATATCTTGAAATTTAATCTTAAATCTGTCGAGTTTGAGGTAATGAAGTTTGACTGTAGTATGTTATTTACATATATATCTTTGACCTACTTGGTCTAAGACCCAGAGTTTCCTGGCAGTCTGTATGAAGAAAGTGAAGGGTACTTCCTATAGTGAACACAACATACTGGTCATGTCTGTCATCTAAACAGAACAGTGCCAGATCTCCAACATTACAGCTGAAAATGAAGAGGACTTGCATTAGATAAGGGAGGGACTAGTGTCACTTATAAATATGTCTGTTGTATAGTTGACTTCTAATACTGAAACTTGTGTCACATGTCGTTTTATGCAGACATGGTGTCACAGTGATAACCTAGGAAATATCTCTTGAATGACTAGTGGAAACACAAAGGTCAGTGCAAATGATTCTTTTGCAGTGCACTGTCATAAATTCTCTTTCTATCACACACATTTCAATTTGTTTGAACATCATTTTAGTTATGACTGTGAACTAAACAAATTATCACTTAAAGCTTAAGAACCTACGCAACGTAGTTTGAACTTTGTCTCTTTCCCTGGAGTTGAAGAGTTCCAATACTTAAAGGAACTGTGTGCTACATTTTAATGTCTATATATGCTTTTGTACACTTCTAAAACAAGTTTGGATAAACAAAACATCTAGAATACATGTTTAGTAATTTTTGTATATTTTTCTTTGAATTATACAAGAATTTTCATTAATTGATATCTTTTCAAAACCCCTGGTAATGCATGCTGATTTTTTGTCTACGAACATCTGATGGCACCATAATCTTATATTAAGAATATCTTGAAAAATTATCAGTAGGTAAGGTATATTGCGTATGTCCTTAAGAACTGCAATGTAGATTTTTCATGAGATACTGAGTCACTGAAATTTTGCTGATGCATATATACCAAGTGCCTCAATGTCACCAATTTCAGGACACTATTTGCATGACAGGAATGAATATCTTTTATTCGTATAAAAAACAAGAAGTCTGTGAGCCAGTGCTCACTAATAATACCCCTGCGCTCTGATGTGAATACACATACAAAAATTTGTTATGTGTGGTACGGACAGATGCACGGATAAACAGGAAGTTGACATCGATTCATACAAATATGATTCCCACCGTATGGCATGCCTAAACAAAGGTTGTGCTAAAATTTCAAGCATCTGCGATGAGTAGTTGCTGAGAAAACTGCGACCAAAATTTGTTATGTATGCTATGGACAGACGCACGGATCAACAAGGTGACATCAGATTCATACAAAAATGAATCCCACCATATGGCATGCCTAAACAAAGGGTGTGCTAAAATTTCAAGCATCTGCGATGAGTAGTTGCTGAGAAAACTGCAACCAAAATTTGTTATGTATGCTACGGACAGACGCACGGATCAACAAGGTGACATCAGATTCGTACAAAAATGAATCCCACCATATGGCATGCCTAAACAAAGGGTGTGCTAAAATTTCAAGCATCTGCGATGAGTAGTTGCTGAGAAAACTGTGACCAAAATTTGTTATGTAAAGTACGGAAAAATGTACGGATAAACAGGAAGTTGACATCGGATTCGTACAAAAATAAATCCCACTATAGGGCATGCCTAAACAAAGGGTATGCTAAAATTTCAAGCATCTGTGATGAGTAGTTGCTGAGAAAACTGCGATCAAAATTTGTTATGTATGCTAGGGACAGACGTACCGATCAACAAGAAGTTGACATCGGATTCGCACAAAAATGAATCCCACCATATGGCATGCCTAAACAAAGAGTGTGCTAAAATTTCAAGCATCTGCAATGAGTTGCTAAGAAAACTGTGACCAAAATTTGTTATGTATGGTATGGACAGACGCACAGATAAACAGGAAGTTGACATCGGAATTGTAAAAAATGAATCCCACCATATGGCATGCCTAAACAAAAAGTGTGCTAAAATTTCAAGCATCTGCAATGAGTTTGCTGAGAAAACTGCGACCAAAATTTGTTACGGACAGACAGACAGATGGACAGACAGACACACAAGGGTAAAACAGTATACCCCCCTCTCCTTCGGAGCGGGGGTATAAATATATACACTGACCTAGTAATAGATACTTTATCTTCAGCAATATTCCTTGTGCTAGCAGTCATTGACATCTCCATCTAGCAGGGAAAAATAAGTATGTAGTATTTGTATATAAGACAACAGTATTCATTGCATAACATGAAACCTTCTTTAGTTGATATGATTAAATTTCAAAGCCAACATTTACATTTTTACATTAATAGTTATATTTTCCCAGTTACAAACCTATGATTTTACAAAGAATATTTATATTTACAATAAGTATAGATACAAGTATGATCTGTAAACTGTCATGCATAAGCAATGATTAATGTCAAGAAATTACCATTTTCTGCTGTAATTCCACAATCTTCTCAGATTTATTCTTTAACTCCTGTAAGCAGAATTTGTGTCATAAAAAAAACATGACTCTCTGAATACAAGAATGGAATTGAATTTTAAATCTAGGATCTCAAAACTTGAAGTATATATAAATATAATTCCAACATCTAAACTTACATCTTCTAATGTTGTAATACGGGAAGCTTCATTTGTTTGACTACAAAAAACATTAATCACATTTATTAAATAAAAAATGACAATTCACTCAAATTTCAAAAATGTCTTGTACAATGTAGAAAAAAGAAAAAATACCTAATCTCCATCACTGAGGGTACAGAGACAGCTGACATGGCCTGTAATTGTGACTGATACTGAGACAACTGTTGACGTGTCATGGCTAGTTCATCCTCTATTTGACGCTTAGCAGCACTGTGAAAGACAAATATTATGCAATAATTTATCACTTTCAAAATTTATGAGAAATCAAGTACAAACTTAAAAGTTAATCTGAAAGCACTGAGCATTGTTTCAATTCACAAATTATGGTTTGAGTGCAGGATTTATATGAAGGATGAAGTATTAACCTATATTCTTTTATCTCTCTTTCCTTATCTGTAAGGTGTGACATTGCCCTTGTCTTAATGTCCTCTAATTTACTTTTTTCCTCATTCAGCTTCAGAATAGTTTCTACAAAATACCAGCATACAGGTAAATGCTCATTAAGTTTTATGTATGGGCTAATAATACATGCTTAACAGTGTAAGTATCATCTATACAATATATGCATACCTTGATCAGTGGACAGCTGTTCCAGAAACTCTTTTTCCTTATTTCTGAGATCTTCTATAACTTTGTCTTTTTCTTGAGCCAGTTTGATTACAGCTTCATTAAAGGCAACCTGGAATTGGTAAAAGTAAGTCGATTAAACAAGACTTTCTTCCTGAAAGCATTTCTGAATGAAAGATTTTTCATCACTAATTAAGAGATTTTATCCTGGATGTGTTGACCTGTTTTTCAGCCTGTAAACTATTCTGGATGGCTGTTAGAGAATCTGACTTTTCTTTTTCAAGCTTGCCAATCAGTTCAGAAATGTCTTTTTCATACTTTTGTTTCAATTCTATTAGAGCCTGTAGAAAAAAATAGTTTAATCATACATGTCTCTGAAGATCAGCTTTCTAAGCAGCAAAATATATACATACAGTTGAACTTCGGTATCTCGAACACAGATATCTCGGTTTTTTCTCAGTCCTATCAAATTCGAGATAACGAGGTTTGACTGTATTGTCTTTAATTTTTTTTACTTCAAAATTTTCCCATAAAATATCCATCCTGTGAAATATGTGATATTTTAAAGATTTAATTTTCCTTGCTTTCATGGTTTGACCCATGAATTCATGTCCTTCACTGAATATTAAAATTTCAAACTTCAAATAATTCTTCACTCCTTCAACCATGCAATCAATTTAACATTAATTTTTTTTTTTTCTCTCTTCAAACCAAAATATTGACCCCATGAAAATAAGTCATTTATAGTAAACGAAAACCAATATACTTTTCCTTTGCAAACTCCTAATACATGTCTGAGAATATCATATTCCTAGAACAATGGTGTTTGGAAAATTAAGATTAGTCTACATTTGGTTATCAATGTACCTTATCTTTTTCAGCTGTAAGCCTCACTTGCAAAAATGCCATCTGGTTGCTATGTTCTTGGGCACTAATGACAGTCTCACCATCACCCAGACTTGTCTGAATCTCCTTTTCTTGATTTGCCTTTTCTTTCTCACTCTCTGCTCTACTATTTGTCACCTCAAGTGATGTTTGAATCTCTTGTTGCTGGACTTGTCTAATGTCTGTCTGAGTTTCCATTTCAGTTCCCTCCTCACTTTTCTCCAAACACACACTTGTTTGTATACCTTGAGGGATTTGAGTTTTGATTTCAGTTTGTGTTTCTATATCCATTCCTTCAGGATTCATAGTGAGGCTTGTTTGCATTTCTTGCTGAACAATCACTGGGGTATCTGTCTGTGTATTCCTCTCCTTCCCTTCCTCCATAGTCAAGTGAGTCTGGGCCTCCTGCTGAACCACTGTCACCCCTTCTGTCTGTGTATCTACTTCCATTCCTTCAGTCCACAGAAGGCTTGTCTGAGCCTCCTGTTGAGTCACGGGTGTAGTATCTGTCTGTGTCTTCATCTCTATTCCCTGCCACTGTTCGGTTTGAATCTCTGTTTGACTTGTGTCTTTCACATCTGTTTGGACTTCCTGTTGTACACTCTCCTTGCTAGCGGTCTGTGATTCCTTGTGATCATACTCTTTCTCTGTGTATAAGTTTAGTTTTAATTGAAGTTCATCAATTTGTTTCTTTACTACTTCCTCATTATGGAGTTTTTCTTCTTGATACTTCTGTTCACTTTGTGACATGAAATCTCCTAAAGCTTTCTTATGATCTTCCTCTAAGGTTTCTTTTAATACTTGATATGATTTATCAAATTCTGTATTCAGTTGTTGAGACAGTACTTCTAGTTCATCATCCTTTTCCTTCATCAACTTTTCCTTTTGTTCCTTCAACTCACTTTCTAACCTTTCAATGTGTGTTCTCTGTATAGACTCAGTTTCCTCTCTGTGTTTAGCTTCCAGTGACATTCTGTGTTCATCCATTTCCTTTTTCAGTTTTTCTTCAAACTCAGCCTGAAGTATTTTTGTGATGTCATTTTTCTCCTGTTGAAATTGAGAAAATAATTTTTCTTCCACTTTACTTTTTTCTGTGCTTAAGCTTTTAACTTTTTCAGTAAGTTTGGCTTCAATAGCTTCCCGATCAATTAATTTGTTTTCCAGTTCTGAAACTTGTTCTTGATACTCTGCCCTTATCTTATCCAGTTCAACTTCTAGCTCAAGAGAATTTTCTTTATTAATTTCTTCAATCTTATTTTTATGTTCCTCTTCCAATTCCTGTTTCTCTCTTTCAAAATTTTCCTTTTCTTTCAAAATTTTAGTCTCCAAGTCCATTACCTTCTGTTTTAGATTTTCAATGTCATTGTTTAGGCTGGAAATTGCAGACTCCTTTTCAGAGATTTGTTTTTTGAGCACTTTTTCTTTTTCACAACACTGAGCAATAGTTTCCTCTTTTTCAATACTCTTTTCTCTCTCTTCCTCTAACTCCCTCTTTGCTTTGTCAAGATCTTGTTGAAATGAAACAAGACTATCTTTCAATGTGTCTTTAGTATTTGCAATTTCAGATGACATAACATTCTTATTTTCTCGTACACAGGTTGATAACTGCAACAAATCACACTTAAGTTCTAATGCCTCCCTTGAAAAATTCACAAATTTGTCCACTTTGCCTTTGGACTCTTCCAGTTCTTGGGTCAGTGTTTGAACTCTATCCTTCAATATTTTCACTTCCTCTGATTTCTCCACAGGGAGTAATGGTCTTGCTTTTGGTTTGTCTTCTTTACTAGGTGGTGAGTCAGCAATTGAAGAAGGCATGGAATCCTCAATGTAGAAGTCTGCTGTAGTGAATTCCTGTGAAGTCTCCATGTCTGGGTCAGTTTGTCTCCTTACCCTCTTCTTCCCTGATGGGACACTCTCGGAGGTTTTGTCTTGTCCAGACAGTTCACTCTCTGTAGATTTTAACTGCTCTCCTGAAGAAGTTGAGGCCCCAAATGATTCACTGGTTGCTTCCAAACCACACACAGATTTTTTGGCACTATCATTACTCTCACATTTTATTGCACTTTCCCCTGGATAAGTTTTGTTAAAATTGTCTACACTTGTAGCACTTGGTAATTTGTCTTTACTGATAATTTTCATTTGTTTTGTCAGTTCTTCTGAAAGACTTTTAGGCATTAATAGTTCGGGTTTGTCAGTACAACTTTCCTTCTGAATCTGCAGCAGGAGATTTGGATCCATCTCACTGCTAGCCACCTGCTGTTCCAATGAAAGACTTTGTTCTGTGGTTAGAAAGGTTTCTTCTTCATCACAATTGTTGATTATCTCTATGTCTGAGGTAGCCAATCCATGCCCAGTGCCTCCCTTTGCAGCAGCTTCACCAAACTTGAATAATGACCTCTCAAAGAATACATCCTTCATTAAGAATGACACATCCAAAGGAACCCTACGAAGAAAATAAACCAATTCATTTTTTTGTGAAAGTTCCATGACATCAACTCTCTCTCTTTCTCTCTCTAGATGAAAGATCTGTGAATTCATCCAATCATATAAAACAGAAAGTACTACAACAAATACATTGTATACAGCTGTAATTTTGCAACAGTTTCTTTGCTACTGTTTTCACAGTTTGTAGAACAATTGAGCTCAAAATGTAGTATAAATATGATTGACTCAATACCTTAAACATCAGTCAGCAAAATTAAAGCTACCAAGAGTACATGTTTTTGAACATTACCAGTATGTCTTTCGTGATATGGCAAACACAGAGCAAAATATTGATTATCATAACTTACTGGAGATTATGAGCAAGTTCTGGAACCTGATTTCTGAGCATGGTCACATCATCAGGTGTAATTGGTGGCAGACTCTGATCAAATGCCTTTGGTTCCTCAGTCTGTGAAATGGATAACGTTTATTCAATGTATTTGATGAAACACATGTACATGTACATACATTCATCAGACTGGGGATAATAATTATGGCACTACTTACGGCAAAAGATGCAGGAGAATCTTCCAGTCCATTGAAAAGTGACTGAAGGAAATGGTTACCTACAACAGATAAATCACTTACCGGTATTCTTGACTTCAAGAGAAATACATTTGTAAGTATCAAATACTTAATTATGAATTCTGCGAGAATATTACATAAAAAAATGTTATCATAACTGAAATTTTCAAATGCATAAGCATAACTGGTATCTGTTGTAGAGAATGATTTTAAACTGGATAAAATTGTTATCAATAAACTTTTGAGAGTATTAGACTAAAGTGCATTTGTTTCTCAGCATTTTTCAGCTATGTTGCAATGATTTGTGTTGTACTTACCAACTTCTGTTTGGAATAATTCTCTCCTCTTTACTTCATCTTCATGAACATTCTGTGATTCCACTGCTAAATGTGATGCCCACTGTAAAGACAAGAAGATGAGATGATGGATTATTGTAGTTTAAAATGAAGATACTTGAATATGTGGCTTTTTTCCATCTAAAGAAAATTAGATACATTTTTTTTAAAGTTCCACATCCAAAATACCCTTATTTGAAGTACATTAGCATTTGTCAAAAGCAAACTTTTAACTCATATTGATTGTTTGTAGAAGTGCTAACTTTGGAATTATGTGTCCCTTGAGTCTGAAGATATAACTTTGAGCATCATATAAACATCAGTCAAAAACAAGACTTGTGTGAGCAGGGGTATTACTAGTGAGAATTCTCTCACAGAATTCTTGTCTGTAAGAGAATTCTCACTAGTAATACCCCTGCTCTGATGTGAATATACCCTCTCATGTTGACATCGAATTCATATAAAATTGAATCCCACCATATGGCATGCCTAAACAAACATTGTGTTTAACTTTCAAGCATCTGCACCAAGTAGTTGCTGAAAAAACTGTGACGGAAATTTAGTACAGACAGACGCACGGATAAACAGGAAGTTGACATCAGATTCAGACAAAAAAGAATCCCATTACATGGATTGCCTTAACAAAGATTGTGCTAAAATTTCAAGCATCTGTGATGAGTAGTTGCTAAGAAAGGGTAAAACAAAGCTCATTCAGAGCGAGAATACAAATGTGATTTTAATCTACGCACTGTTACAAATTCAGAACTATGATGACCTTGAGAGTTTAATCTTGCATGAAGCTATCCAGTTCAAAGCAAGAATAGTGTAAAACATCAACCAGTCAAAGGTTCAATGAAAAAAAATCTGAGTCACACTGGTCAAAAGCAACATTTGACAAGATAGGATTATAGAATGAATCCAGAATTGACTTGGACATCTGAGAAATAAGATTGTAAGGAGAATGATTAATATCAATATAAATTTATGGGTATAAGAGAAATAAACTCAGACATGTATACAAATCAATATTTTTGGAGGTTGTATGTATAAACTAATAAACTTGAGATAGATTTCAATACTGGTGCATTTATAACTATTTAAAATTCTTGTTTTAATAAATCATGCTGTGTTAGATGACAACAAGCAAATAACTGCTTTTTAAATCAGTCTTTTGATTTTGTCTGAATTAAAAATGTTCATATGTTGTCATTTTACCTTTAAAAACTGAGTAGAGAACTTCCTTCGTCGAACCACCTCCACCACCAGTTTAGCATACACTTGTGGAGCTTCATGGATCTGTTTTAAAATGTCCAACCTCTTCCTTAATCGCTTAAGGTTTTCATGGTAAATCATCAACTTTCCATCTACATCACAGATCCTCTTTTCCACCAACATCACCCATCTACAATAAAGGGAGATTTTGCTCATTTCACCAAGGAAATCTTTATAATTTCTATTTTTTTTCCAAATGTAGACTAGAATGTGCTCATACAGAAGACAAGTGGTTAAAAAAGTACATGTATTGCACCAATCCATCCTTAAATCAGAAATTCCATTTAAAGTATTTCATTTTGAGGAGTAAATGACACAATACCTGAGTCTTGTGTGAAGATTGACAGACAGCTCTTCCTTGGCCATCTTGCACTTTTTCTTGGTTTCCTGGAGCTTTTTGTGATTGTTGACCATCACCACTAACTGTTTTTTGTGACTGTTACAGAGATCTGGCAGGATGGAGGTGTCCCTTAGTTTACTGACCCGTGTCTGGTTCTGGTATAATGCCTGTTGAGCAAAAAAAAAATAGACATGAATTTAAAACTCGGCTACACAGTGACCCTTTTTCAAGCCTTAAGGCAGCTTGGTTTGTTATTAGTCCCCTACCGGTGAAACCGGAGGGGACTATAGGTTTCCTCTGAGTCTGTCCGTCCATCTGTCTGTCTGTCTGTCCCTCTGTCTGTCCCACTTGGTTTTCTGCACTTTTTCCCTAAACGCTTGCAGATATTGAGCTGATTTTTGGTATGTGAGTGTATCTTGATGAGTTACAGATCAAGTTTGCATTTCGTTCCGCTTCATTGATTTTTGATGGAAATACGGCCTTTTCAATTTTTAGGGGTTTTCCGCAATTTTCTTCTTAACGCTTTTAGATATTGAGTTGATTTTTGGTATGTGACTTAACCTTGATTAGTTATAGATCAAGTTTGTATTTCATCCCGCTTCATTGATTTTTGATGGAATTATGGCATTTTAAATTCTTAACGGGAACCAGATTACACTTGCCGGTAGGGGACTAGTATTGCTAATGCAATACTCTCAGAATGCTTGTTATATATAAATAGCAGTTGGAGAGTAAGGAAACGGTGTATTCTGGTTCTTTGTGCATTATTTATCAAAACTATATAAAAGTAACTTACCGTCATAAATACAAAGAGTATGAGTGCTTAAAACATTATTATTTTCAAATAATCAAATGATCAAATAATAAAATTTTCCAGACTTATGGAGAAACTTTTTTGCTAACCTGTGCCAGATCACTTTGTTCCTGTACAGTCTTCTTTGCTCCATTTAAGATCTGGTCCAAGCCGTACAACCTGTCCTCAATGCCCTTGACCTCCTTCATGCTGGGGTTTTCCACCTGTTTAAAGGTGTCCATGACCTCTGACATAAGGTTGTCTAGTACCTGCTGATCCAGCTGTTCTGTTGCCTTCAAACACTGGTGAACCATGTCGTGTAAACTGTGCTTGGGGTCCTTTTGAAACAATTCACCAAATTAAAAAAAAATTAATGGTGATTAAGATTTCATGTACTTTGACAAGCAAAAATAATTTTAACTCTATAAAAGCACATATGCTTTACTGATGATGATCTATTTAAGCATACATTATTGTATACTAGTACCTGTGAGCTTATCCAATCAAACAAGTTTTTATTTGATATGGAAGAGTCCTCCACAGTTTGCAGAAGACATGGCAGAACAGGAATCTTAGACAGAAGATCTAGTGAGGATGCCACACTGAAATAAAAAAGCAGGTACATTGTAAATGTATTAGCAATACATAATGACATACCGTAAAAACATGAGACATGGATTTCCATGAGTGAGCTCACCGGTGGGGGGAGGGGGGTGTCAACAAGTGACTGACTCTCTGTGTATACAGATCATCACATTAGGTTTATTATACATGATAAAACATCATCTTGTAATAGAAAAATTTGTGTAAGCTAAAATAAGCTACTAATGTGGCTCTTGGAAACAAATTTCATCTTTTTCGATTAGTTTGCATTTGAATGATTAACATTGGATGAGAGTCTTGATACAACTTGAATCTTATATAATGAGTGAGTCAAGAAATTGTAACTTTCAGTGTTTCTCCATAACAGAGTTAAAACATGGAAACATATTCAAAATGTTATCTGACAATGACTTTAACCTAACCAAAATATGATTTACAGACTCATTTTTTGAAATAAGCAATCTTCATGTTAAGTATGGCCTTTCAACCTAATATTAAAATTATTTTTTTTCTGCCAATGTATCTTGCATAAATAACTTTGAGTCAAGATCTTTTCCTACCCTCTGGTCATTAATAATTTTCAATATTTTTGTGACAAGTTAAGAATCAAATATGAATTTCCTTTGCTAGTGACCCTAACTTTGAGTCGGTGTTGTTAACTTTGCTTACAGAGCACAATAAATAATATTACTACTGACCTGGACAGCGTTGACAAATAATCCTCACGACAAGAAATATAGCTGGTGTAAGCCTCTGTGAAGATCTCTGATCTGTGTTTAAGGGCACTGTAAACAAAAAAAATAAAATACAATTACTAGCTATTTAGTTTTATGGACTTGCTTGCCAACTGCTCCACTTGCGAAAGATGAAGCATGCCAACATGCAGTGTTTACATCATATTTACAGTGTTTATATCATATTTTAAGTTTATCTCTAAGTTTATCTCTAAACAACAGAATATTCAATATGACTTTTCTAAGCATAAGAAGAGGCTGATCAGAAATTTGTATTTCCAACAAAATTTACCATGTGATGTCTTCTAAGTTGGCAACGACAGCTGCCCAGCCTTGTTGTTGTAGATGTTGATCATGAACCAATTTCTCACAGGCCTCCTCTTCCTCTTTGTCAACATCATGAATTTGCTGAAATTATTTAAAAAATAACTGATTTAAAAGTTTATAAAATTAAACTTAAATAGAAATGCTTTACTTGTGCTTTGAACTTTCTAAATGATACATGATACAGACGTATGAAATAATTGCACAACATGATACATGATACAGACCTATGAAATAGTTGCATAAAAATCATTTGTTTTAAAGTTATTTACAGATTGATATTATTCTTCAATATCAGATCAAATATTCAATTGAACTGTTTTACTATTTTTACTTACTATTGCCAGTTGAGATCTTGCCACGACGGTCCCAAAGGTTGGAGGCAGAAGGAGTGAACCCTCCACTTGACTAGGAATATCCACATCTGTAGAATTGTTTCAGAAAGTTAGATCTTCTATTTACTTGTCTAATAAAATTCCACCTGGTTAATTTGGATCCAGCACTGTAACTTACCTGAACCATAGTGTACACTTGGTGATGGAGGGGTTGCTGCCTCTATCGCCATTTTGCTGAACAGATAGATAGGGTTTGTATCCTGGAATGCAATAATTAATGAAATTACATTCATAATTTATATATATGCATTCTAAAAACCTAAAAAAAATAAAGTTAAATCAAATTAACAGTTCTAAATGTTTTTCTTTTACACGTAACAGTCAGTATTACCAGGGTACATGTGGACTAATGTCCACACACTAACATACCACAGGGGCCGGTAACATACTATGTTTTTATGTAAACAAAAAGGAAAATTTCATTTTTGTATATATAGTGATCAGGTAAAATCAAGCAAAGTATGATACTGGCCCCTGTGTTATATACTTACACAGAACTTATACTTGAGTGCTTACAGTGCCAGCACTGAGGATGGTACTGTTGATGTGCGTACTAAGGACAGACATACTTACACAGTACTTATACTCGAGTACTCACAGTGCCAGCGTGGTATTTGTGGACATGTGTATTGGGGTCCAGACTTTCTCCTCCACTGATTAGTAACACCTGCTTGTCCTCTGATATGTGACATGCCTGACTGATCACCTTTTGTAGATCAGCCACACTGGAAGAAAGTTCATAAGAGAAGTAAATAAACATAAGTGAAATAAACATGTGAAAATACTGAAGTTCAACATGCCCTTTTTTCCCTTAAATATACTAGAAATTTTCATTTAATTACAAATGATATTGTTGTATTTAGGTCTGCATGTACACAGTATAATTTGAACTTGGAATTATTTACCTTCCTGCTAGGAGACCCATGTCAAAGGTCATCATGGTTCCTGTATCAACATGGAAGACATACAACATCTTGGATCAATCTGAAATCACAAAATAATAATAATAAAATCAAATCAAATGAAATTATCATTCTTGTATTGTTCTATTTCATAAATGTTTGCTATGAGTGGTATACATATATATTTCTTTTATGGAAAATCTGATTATGATTTACTTACCCAGAAGTTTACGCTCTTCAAATGCACAAGGGTTGTAGCGATGCATAATACTATGCCATTTAAAACTTACATATTACATATATGCTTCGTGGCTGCCAATTATGAATAAATGTTCCTATACAGATAGAATTTTCTATTCTATGCAAAATTGAAATCTATTTGAAAACAGAATGCCATTTGATATATGGATAGTGTGTGTGTTTTAATTTTTAATATATTTCTGATTTTTTCAAGATTTTGTCAGAAATTAAATATTCAAAATCAAATATATCAATCATTGTGGCAATATTGATAATTTTAAATTTAATTCATGTGTGAGGAATATAGATTTATGAAAAAAGTTTTTAAAAATACCATTTATGATGGAAGTCCTTAATAGAGAAGATGTCAGGATTCATTATTTTAAAGCACAAATGAAAACTTTTCAATATATTTCTATTGGTTAACTGAGATGAGGCTAAGATATCCTATTTCCTGCACATAAAAATTCTTGGAATTGATAACTGAGTCAAGATACTAATTATATCCCTAGACTGTGTTCATATGAGTTTTTCTGAATAAAAGGAAAAAGAAAAAAAAAACATTTCAAATGAATTATTCTGCTATCATGAAAGACATTGCACCCAGCTGAGGCAATCACTCTCAAGTTACTTGCTCCTAAGTTACCAGCTGTTTTATTATGCAATACCTGATTTATCGACCTTTTTACCTTACAGCAATTAATTATAAATACAAATTCATTTCAAAACTAATAGATATTAATTTTTTACTTTTTCTTTGTTACCTACCTGTTGCACTTGATCACCTTGATCTGTTATGTTTACAAATTCAGTCTTCTGATCGACCAGATGACGAATGAATAAAGAACAGCAAATTCCGCTCATTCGGGTGTCATTCTCTAAGTGCCACAGGTATATCAGTATATTTCGTCATACTTAGAACAATATTCCTTGATTTTCAACATATTTAACGTGTTTCGTTGAGTAATCTATATTTTTACACAACAAAAATATTTGGGAAGACATTTTCCATGTTTACAATTTAATAACATAGAAGAGTTCTCTAAAGGGGGGATAACTCCTTACGGTTGATACGAAAATCTTTTATGACGAGATAGTTAACTGGCCAAAGATTGGTTAGATCTCTAATCCATGTTTCAGTAAATGAAACTTGAAAATGTATGAGAGTGAATTATTTTTTATTTTTTAAATGTATCCAAAGATATACCATTGAGCTTTTGAAGAATCTTATCCTTCTTTAAATGAGAAAACAATAAATCAGCATATTAGCCATTTAAATTTAGTCCCAGTACCCAACTCGATGGCAATTTGTTGGTTCGTCCTTTACTGTCACGCCCGTTTGAAACTTTTTTTTCAGACTGGGAGGGGGACGGGGGGCAGGTGCATTTTCATCCATATTTTCAAATTTAACTAACAAACAATGCATTTTAACAATATACCTATCATTATTAAAGCATTCCATGCTTGAGATCTCTGATTTTTTTTCTGTGACATGTAATTTAAAAAGAGTATATTTTACAAAGTTTTACCTAATAAGATGTTTTTTTCAAAGTTTATTGTAAGTTTGATAAAAACAAATTCGGATTAAAGCCCCCCCCCCCTCCGGATTTTTATCGTTTCAAGTTTTCAGTAAAAATATGACCTTGGAACCCCTCACCCAGGAAACACGGACCACATGTACATATGTAAGATGGTAACGAGATTCATATAAAAGTCATGAAGGAATCACATTGTAAACTCCATCCCCCAATCCAACGAAATAGTTTTTCTTTACAACCACAACCCCCTCCGTGAAAAATTCCTTGATCAGCGCATGCATGGTGTCTCGAGATTTTTATTTTCTTCTGGCTTGGGCAGTCTAAGTTAGTCAAGTATCTAGATTTTATGATTACTAGTATTTATGCATATGTATTGTGAAATTTTGGTGATTTATTAAGGTGGTTTTTAATGACCGGGAGGGAGAGTTCGATGTGGAAAAATGCCCCCTCCCCCCAAACTGTAGAAAAATGTTGAAAAGTGTGGGGGTTTTTTGTTGTTGTTTTTTTGTGTATAGAAAAGAACCCCTAGGGATCAGCATGTGCAACCTACAAGAAATTGACATCTGTTGAAAATTGACCCCATCCCTAGCGTATCCAGAAAGAACAGGTAAAATTAAAATAAGCATATGATCGCATTAAACTGATTGTAACTTTATAAATTATACTGAAGTAAGGTAATTTGGTAACAACTAACCATTTGGGAAAAAATATAACTCGACTTGAAGATTACATGTGACTTGAGGACCAAAGAAGGTCAAAGGTCAAGGCTACCTGCTCACACCATTGCCATCAGCATTTTCTCCATTGACCTTGACCAACTTTCCTGGTCAAAGTTCAAGAGTTCCATCGCAAGTGCTTTTATGTTTCTGCAACTCTTTATTATGAAGTTTATTAAGACTATAATGAAGAAAGCTTAAGAAAGTCGGCTGTCAAATGTAAATAGATGCTGTCATTTATAAGACAATAATACCCGCACGCACGATGCAAGGAAAATCCTGGACAGTTACTAAGAAAAATTGAAATGAAGAATTTTTACATTTCATTTCCAAAGAAACGGTGGATATTTTGAAAAATTTAAAACTAGAGTTAGTGATTATTATTTCTGTAAAGTTTCATTAAATTTGTCCGAACATTCACAGAACAGACAAAATCATAGGCGGGGCAATTATGTCGCCTCGACTTTGTGCATCAATAAATAAAATTCATAAATAACTAACAAACCCACAATCAATAAACAGATGGCATTTAATAGATGTTTGAATAAATCTATGACATATAACATGGAATGAAAACAACGAATTCTTTCTAGTTTTCTTGATGTCGAGTCTCTGATCAATATTCAATATCATTGGAGTCATTTTATTTAAAACCAAGAAAATTCTTAATTCTTCTGCGAAGGCTCTTCTTGGGAGATACAGTTGCCTGAAATGAAAAAAAGGTATGATAAGTTATTACACCTCCTAAAGTCTTTTAGTGTGATAATGATAAAATGACAATGTAAGTCAATACTGTAAACTTGCCATTGTTGCTTCAGATATACAAATTGTGGATAATTCGTCCAAAGAGTTACAAACATTGGGCATGGAGATTTCAGTGTATATGTTGGTATGTGCTGCATCAGTCTAGAATGAAACAAAAAAAGAGGAAAAATTTCAAACAGTGTGGAAACCATGATGGAATATGATATAACATTTACTTCAATATAAATACATTCGTAAATAGATTTTCAAATGTGAATGATTTTTTTTTATTATGCGTAGATACTTTTATTTAGAAGCCTGAACAATCAAGTCCACATTTTAAAGGCTATGTTACCAGGGTGGACAGTCTCTTATTACAACTTTAATCAGAAATAAACAAAAAGTTTTTTAAATGTTCATTTACCATTCACTTTCAACTACTTTTTAATTATTAAAAAAATAAGTTTCAATAGGGAATACATGTGTAACTGAAAAGTTTTAACATGTACCTTGAATTCGGTTATCCCGAATAGAAAGAGCCTTCTTGGAATAAAATGGTCCTCGTTTTTAACCTCGATATTGGTCAGTGGCTACAAAAAACATAAGATTTTAATTGAAACTAACATATTCATTATTAATTAAACACTATTAACCATTAAATCAATAGCTCTTGTACTCGGTGCTTTAAAAATCGTTGAGGACATAACAATTATAATAGAGTGTCATTCGTTATATATACAGTCTTAATATCCTCTTTTCGCCGATAGTTTACCTTCATTCTGTTGTTTTAACTATTTTAAATTTTTCTCATGACAAAAAGTCAAGAAATGATATGGCATACCTGTATGTTACTTATTTTTTGTCCATGCTGATACACTTCTGTTTTCAAACCGGTCTCTGGCTTTTCATCATTGAAAATTTCTGTAGGTTTGCTGTATAAATTATGAGATGTTCTTTTTAGAATCCGCAAAAATATGAGTGCAAACGCAATTATGTAAAAAAAAATATATATATATATAGTTACACATTAAGTGATAAGACAAACTCATTAATTTCAGTGATGCAATACCTTAAACCGTTATTCGTCTTCTCCTGCACCTCTTCCTTTGCATTTTGGACCTTTGTCATCTCTCTTGCCTGGTCTTCTGGGGTAACTTTCTGGGGTTTCTCTGGAATCTTCACCTTTACCTCTTCAATCGGAACTGATTTTTGAATTTCTTTTTCTGTTGCGTCTTCTTGATCTTTGCTTTGTAATTGAGCTTCCTAATAATAAAAAGAATGGAGGAATATTTTGATTTTCCTGAATCTATTTATATCACGCTCCTTTACATAAAAATGTGAGAAGACTGCTTGAAATACCCTTGCTATTGTACATACCTTCGTTCTTCTTTCGTGTTCTTCAACTTCTGTAGCCCAGCTATAGTTAAACTTTAAAATATCTAGCTTAACATCCTGAAATCATATTAAAAATGTATTCTTTAAAAAATAGAAGGAAATTCAAAACATTTCAGTAGTCCCATGATTATGATCAATTCATTGGTTTATTTGTATTTTGGGTATTAAGGTATTGGTAAAACATTCTCTGGTCTACAGTATACGGACATGTATTTTGTCATTTACATGAAATTTACAAGTTAATAAAAGTTTTTTTCCACACAGTTTTTGAAGAAAAAAAAATGCAGCACTGGGAAATATATAGCAACAGTTTGGAAAATTGTACTTACTAAATTTGTAACTGGCTCCTCGCCAAAATCCAGAAATGCTTGTCTACAAAGAAAATCGTGAGACTTTCAGGCAAATATCCAAAAGCATATCAGTACACATATATAAAGTACGGTAAATCAACTTGCTTTGATATATCAGTAACTTTATTCCAGTTCCACGAGTACGTAATTAAACAAGTTTCCAATGCTATAGAAAATTACCCATAAATGGATCTGTTATTATCGTCTGACGGCCATTGTTTCTGTTTCATGACATCTGTAGGTTCCAAAGCTTTCCATTTTGCTTCCTAGAGGACAATATTGCTTATCATTTCTTTTTAAATCGTCTTATACCATAAAAATAAAACGGTCATACTTGTTTTGTTCATGTTAGCAAAGAGTCATTTGGTGATTTTGTTGTTCACAAAATATTATGTTTTAACAGTATGTAAATTAGTAAAGCATCGAAAGATACAAATGATAATACACTTAAAATAATGAATGACCACACTTCTTCAGAATCGGGCAAGTAAGTAATTTGTATTGTCTTCTCACAGACAAAGTTAATGTGGATAACTGATATGTATTTATTTACCTCGGTCATTCTTTCTTCTCTCTCCACCTCATCCACCCAACTGTAATTAAACTTCAGAATCTCCAACTTTGCATCCTGGAAATAAAACCACAAAGTTTGTTCATTTTTTTTTTTGGGGGGGGGGGGATTTCATAAATTCAAAGAATGTTAAATATCTACAATAGACATCGTCGGTGGTACAGTGCATGGACTTCAATATTTCAACAAATTTCGTTATGTATATTTTACAATACTACTTGCTAGTCAATAACCCTATATTACTACCTAATATCTTAAAATACGGCCTTAATTTTCAAAACGTCTACTTACTAAATTTTTAACTGGCTCCTCACCAAAATCAAGAATTGGTTGTCTACAAAGAAAATAATGAAGGTTAACAAAATATTCAATTGATATATAGAATTGGAAATCAGATTGCTTTGGCGTGTCAGTAACTTTCGCTAGAGTTTGGCAAGATTTTACTGGAAAACACTTCCTCTAGGGTAGAATATTACCTATGGACGACGGTCTTGTTATCTTCTTCGGACTTCCATTGTTTCTGTTTCATGGCATCTGATGGCTCCAAAGGTTGTCTTTTTACTTCCTATAGAGAACAAATTTTTATCATCATGAGAGTCTACTGCTTTTTATCTTAAGAAAAAAGTCATAACAATACAAACTTTCCCTTTTCTTATTGTTTGTTTGTTTGGCTGTTTTTTTTTAACATATTGGGTATGATATCTTATCAAAAATTGGTTTTATGCTATCACAGTAATAAAACATAGAAGCGAAAGACTATATTTTGCTAACATTATCAGACATGTAAGCAGTGTATAATAATAAATCTCTTCTCACAAGCAAAATACAGTAAATCAATGTGTATAACTTTGTATACATTTACCTCCATTATTCTCTCTCCTTTTTCCACTTCAGCCGCCCAGCTATAATTGAACTTTAAAATCGCCAGTTTGGCATCCTGAAAAATGATAAAATACAATTTTTTCAATGATTGAAGATATATGTATTCAAAAATTCAAATTATGGTAAAAAGAAATATCTTTTAATTAAAAATGAAAAAGCAGAACGCAGAATTTTAAGGGTTTCAAGTGATTTTATTACTTAAAATAGATAAAGCATGAAATAAATGTCAGATGAAATTGTCTTGTAAAAGGATCCTCAAAATGCTTTTATTTTTATATCAATATGATAATATTTATTCATTTAAATCATGTTAAACTCAACATTTTGACAAAAAACGTCAATATGATATGCACTAGAGATTAAACTATGTACGTGTAATTATGTGTTCCAGCTTTATTGTTGAAACAATATTATTCACAAATAGCAACTATATATACTTACCACACCTTTGACTGCTTCAGCTCCAAAATCCAATTCGTCATGCATGCTTTTCTACAAAGAATATGAAATATGAAATGATAAACGTAAAAATATTCTGTAACTGAATTTATCGTAAAAAACATGGAATGAATTATTGTAATTATGTAAGCATCTTTACCTCCAACATCTTTATCCAAGTTTTGTTGTAGCGACAATTGTTTCGTCACATCAATTGTTACGTTCGATATCACGTGTTATTATGACGTCATGCACATAATTTCGTTTCGCTAAAACTTGAATATTTATGCGTTCAAGATGTGACTGCGGACTTATAATATGTTTATCATATGGCTATATGGTTCTGGTTTACTATCTGTATTTATTATTATTATTTTCATATTAAACAAATTTAGGATTTCTTTTCCCTCCATATACATTATGCCTATGAAGCAATGGATTAACATTTGTGAAAGGAATTTATTCTCTTCAATTCATATTGGTTACTGTGGAATAGTCAGTTGAAGTCGGTTTATTAATTATTCTATTTCCCTGTAATTTTTTTTTTTACATAAATAATTCTTTGTTCTGATTGTATGGTGCTGATTTTGTGATATATTATAAATGGCAAAATTTCTATATGTTCACTTGGTGTTTTTCAGTCAAAATTGTCCAAGGGTTCCAGATTACTTGCATAGGGTTGCAAGTTTTTTAATGATATAGAAAAGAAGTGTCCTTTCTGACATATTTTATTTCCTAAATAAAATCTGCAACATGACGATCGACTTTAAAGTCGTCAAGTTGCAGATTTGATTTAGGAAAATAAAATATGTCAGAAAGGACACAAGGATCGTGTCATGTATACAGAGTTTTTTCGCCTCGTGTTATTTTCTCCCTTTATACACTTGTTTTTTTAACGTCCCTTTATACGGTCTTATCCGAAGGACCGGTCTCCACGTCTCACAGTGGGATTCGAACTCGCGACGTAAGGATCAACTCTAGGCCTAACCATTGCGCCACGCTGGCGACTCACACACTTGTAAACAATTTCCCCCGTTTTAACTTCATTTAGACACAGTATGTTAAAGAATGAATGCTGTCTCCCTTCAATTCGTCCATGTTTGAATTCGCCCTCTCGCGAATAGGACGTAATAGTTCGGAAATAAAACGGGGGCGAACATTTCTCTGTAGACAGTACATGTATATGGAGCGCCAAATTAAGCATAAACTCGAGTAATTGAAAATATCATTTTATATTATATTGCACACAATTTGATTTTGCTCTCATCAATTGAAATGAAAGGAGCATCAATTCAATTGGAGAGAGCAATAATATGGTGGAGATATTGCTCGCAGACATTAATTTAGACCTCGGTCGGGTATAAATGATACAACTGGAGATATTTTTTTTTATTATATTACAGCGATTTTGAAGGACGATTCAATGCAAGCAAAAATACCTTTAAAGAGAGAAACAGTTGTATTAACGATATCATTATTTAATTCATGGATGTTGAACAGAAGATACCTAGCTCTTTTGAAATTGTTGCCCTCTCGTAACGAATTCTTTCGCGGATTTATTGAATAACGATATCATTAATTTAAACGAAGAGAACAAAAATTCAATTATTGTGCGGATTAATTGAATTATTGCTCCCTTTAATTGAGTTATTGCGCGCATGGCTGCATTTCATTTCCGGAATTTTTTTTTCAAATTTTCAACTTTTCATTTCCGACATTTTATAGTTTTCATTTCCGACATTTTAAAGTTTTTATCACCGACATTTATAAGGTAGTACTTTTCGACAATGAAAGCAGAATTGAAGTTAAGATTGAAATCAGATATGCTAGTATGCAAATTATCAGGCATACAGAAACCATTCGAGGGAATACACTATCATCGTTGATGGAATTCTTTTTTAGGTCACCTGAGTCACTCAGGTGACCTATTGCTATCCGTTTTCGTCCGTCGTCGTCCGTCGTGCGTTGTGCGTCGTGTGTTAACATTTGAACATTTTCAGCTTCTTCTCTGAAACCGCTGAACCAATTTCAGCCAATTTTCCCATATAGCATCTATGTGTAAAAGGGAACAAAATTTGTGAATTTCACGGTCCCTGCCCCCCTGGGGCCTGAGGGGTGGGGCTAAAACCACCAAAATTAATGCAATCTTTAAAAATCTTCTTCTTTACTCCTGGACAACAAGGGGTCAAACTGTTGGCATGATTGTAATAAGCATTGAGCCCTCTACCAAAATTGTGAAATTCATGGCCCCAGGGTCAGGGGTTCTGGTGCTAGGGCGGGGCTATATAGATCATATAGTGAAAGTGCATTATTTCTTTGAAAATCTTCTTCTCTACTCCTGGGTATTATTGAAACAAATTGAATACATAGTTATGATAAGCAAGGGTGACTCTACCAAAATTGTGAAATTCATGGCCCCAGGGACAGGGGTTCTGGTGCTAGGGTGGGGCTATATAGATCCTATAGTGAAGGTGAATTATTTCTTTGAGAATCTTCTTCTCTGCCCCTGGGTATTATTTAAATAAACTAAATACATTGTTATGATATGCAAGGATGCCTCTTCCAAAATTGTGAATTTCAGGCTCCCAGGATCAAGGGTTCTGGTGAAAAGGGGGGGGGGCTCTATTGATTATATAGTGAGAAAGCAACATTTCTTTGAAAATATTCTGGTTAAAAAGCAAAGAAGCTAAGTGTATAGTTATGATGAGCAAGAGTGCTTCTTCCAGAGTAGTGAATTTCATGACCCCCTGGGTCAGATGTACTGGTGTAAGGGTGGGGCTCTTGATAATATAGTGAAAATGCATTAATTCTATTAAATAATCCTGTCTGCTCTTAGTGTTAAGCAGACAAACAAAGTGATTACTTATGATGAGCAAACTTCTGGTCCCAGGGTGAGAGGCTCTGGCGTTTCTCGGTGGAGAGGGGGGGGCTCTATTGATAATATAGTGAATATAGTGAATCTGTAGTAAAAATGCATTATTTCTTTAAAAATCTTCTCTGCACCTGGGCATATCAGAGGCAAAAAGAGTAAAAGTTTTAATAAGGAAGGGTATTTTTACCAGATTTTTGAACATCTGGACCATTTGTTCAAGTGTTCTGGTCCTGGCCAGGGCTCTAATAATTTGTATTCTACTGAGAGGAGTTATTCCCCTTTGCCATTTACTTTTGATAATTAATCACTGTAAATAATGTACTTGAAAGGTTAATAGAATAGGAGAATTATGCAAGAATTGTTATTGTATAATACAAAAAGTACTTTCTTAGTTTTAATGATCAGGTAGACTTGTAAGTAGTAGATAAATAAAAATCAGACAAAAATAACTTGTCTTATGAAATGTTCATCAAAGATCAAGAGAGGCCAATGTAAGAGATTTCAACAAGGAATTAAAATATTACAGAAACACTGATAGTTTGTTAATATACTTATGGTGAGAGTGATAAATGGGGAAGAGATTAAAACCTAATTTATGAACTGTTGATGAATACTAGACTAATTATTTTGTTGATCCTGATCACCCTATTTTTCTTGCTTTTGGGCAACAAAGCTTCACCTTTTAGTTCATTTTATACTCTATGGATTCTCTAAATTGTTGTATGATACTCAGGTGACCGTTAAGGCCCTTAGGCCTCTTGTTTTTTTGTTTTTTTTGTTTTTTTTTGTTCTTTGTTTAATTAAGAAAGGAGACATATATACGCATGTAGCGCAAGGAAAGATGCAATAAATCTATTCTGTGCAACGGATGAATATGGCTAATAATGAAAAACATGTATACATAAAGGGTGTATTATATGTTTTTATTTATATTTTTTAAAATTCCATTTCCACCTACTTGGTTAACATTAAATTGCCGAAGAGTAGCCTTGCAAAAAATCCGGAAATGAAAAAGATTAAATGTCGGAAATAAAAAAAAAAATAAATTGTCGAATGAAATTAAAAAATGTCGGAAATGCTATGCAAAATTCCGGAAATGAAATGCAGCGGCGCGCATCGAATCGATTGCTGATATCATTAATTAATTTGAAGACAGAAACAATTTAATTGTTGTGCGCCTTAATTCGGCAAATTAATTGTGATATTAACAATTATTCAGTATAACTCAAAACTGCGCAATAATTCAAAATGGAAAATATCATTTATAATTTATGAGAGCTCTCTAATTGAATTGTTGAGCACTTAAGATTAATAGATGATTTTTTTTCAAATAATTAAAGACATCTTCAGTTGTTCGAGTTAACTCGATAATATGATAATCTGGTGCTCCATAATTCCCAGATAGTATCATTTTTAACAGGCAAATTCATTATCTTAAAAAAAAAAACGCCAGCAAAACGTATACATAAAAAAGGTATATCTTGGGTTCTTGGAAATAGTTTGCTTTTGCTGTTAGCTTATCAAATTATGTGGTATGGCCATTTTAGAATTCAATGTACTTTTTGAGCAGAAATTTATCAATACACGCGTACTTTTTACATGAAATTTTAATTTTCAGGATCTTCATTCAAAGATCAACTAATTTTAAGTTTATTGCATATAAGCGGCTCCTTATTCAATAGTATTTGATAGTTTTATATAATTTTTAAGGAGAAAAAAAAACTTATTTCAACGTTATTTTTTTTTTTACTTTCATCACTATAACTTAAAGAAGGCTCCTATTGATTTTGAGGTCAAAGAACAAGGTCAGAAATGCATATGTTACATACGTATAGTTTTCAGATGATAACTTTCGGTCTCCATAAGCGTTTGCAATGAAACGTTGAGAGGAACTTGTGAGTTGATAGAACTTGTTTCCGACGCTATTGATTGTTTGTCAATAAAAAACGTTGAAAACAAACAATGAAACGTAAGGTGATGAATTTCTTTAACTTAAAAAAAAGACCTCTATTGAAGTTAAAACCAAAAGCTGAAAGGTCAGGGTTGACTCTTTTTCCCCTCTCCATCTGCATTTTTTCAGGTCTTTCTCCCCTTTCTTTTTTCCACAAAACTTCCCTGAATTAGCTTGTTGGATTTGTTTTATAATTCTATCTGATTGGCGTTGCAATAAAGATGATGGACGAGCAAGAAAAGACAATACCCATCGTTAGACAAATAAACCAAAAATTAAATCTTAATCACAACAATTTTTCTTGGGTTATTTTAGGTAGGTAGACACTAATGTATACTTTGTGTAAAATTTCCGCAATTTACAACAATCTTACAGGTACTGACATTATTCGTCTATACAATAGCACGAATCCCTTAGATATTTACATGAAACGTTGTGAAAGATTCTTAATTCAAGTCCTAGCTGTAAATTACGAACGCCTAGAAGAATCAAATGAAGAAAACAAAATAAAAGTTATTACATGCATTACGACATAAAAAGGCGTAATAACGAAACTGAAAATTCTTCACTTGGGCTTAAGAAAATTTCATGAGAAGGAGTTGTAATTGATATTTGTTTCGCTGTTTATTCGATTGGCAAGAACATTTTATGTGCAACAACAGTTTCTAAACCGAAACAGGTTACTAACAAATAAGTTTATGTTATGGGTATCATCAATCTGTTTAAAGTCAATATATTTCGCACATTTTATGGTCTTCACTATGACCTTGTTTGGAAGTGCAACTTTTCATTGAGTAGAATTTTGACTGAAGTTTCCTTACAAATTGTAAGACCACATTCTTGCACAATTCTGATTGGCGTGTGTGAGCAGTCGACAGGGGTTGCTTACCCCTCAATTGCACCTGATCCCACCTTTGTTTTTCAAGGTCTAAACATCATAAAATGAGAAGACAAGTCAAATTTCAAATAAATATAGCATAAATTTGTTTTGCACTTTGTTAAACATGATCGTTAGATAAAACTCAAGATATTCAAATTCTAAAGTTTGACTTGGTCTCTTCTCAGTTTATGGCCTTGGTGCCTTGGGTCCGATTTTGGTCCGATATCAATTTTGTTGTTGTTTGATTTTGACCTTAAATTATTGTTCGTCATTCTCAGATTTCATCTATATGTATACAGGAACATATACATATTCCTTGTTGACATATTCATATCATTCAAGATGGTAAGAGCAAAATCGCATTACTCAAGATATGATGAACACGGATCCCCCATTCTTCTTTTTCCCTCTTGACCATACACCATATCTTATTCTTTTCTTCAGTATTCCCCATTTCTCACACATATGCATAATTATTTTCATCATTTTCTTGTTCTATACATAGATTCCGTGGATGACTGTTTACTCTTAGGTGTTCACTGTTGGGGGTGGGGTGGGGTGGGGTGGGGGAGGGGTGGAGATGGGAGATAAAAATCGAATTATATAAAATCTGACTTAAACCATCCAGAAAATTGCATGGAAACATGATGTATATGTTTTAAGAAATGATATCCACAACCTTTCACATGACCCTAAAACTGAATATTAAAATTTTTAGTAAAAGAAGTTCACTCTCTCCTTCCCTGGAAACATCTACAAATCATACATATCATCCACATCTGCTTTAATATTTATCGGTTCCGTTTTGTACGGATCTCGATCTCTCTCTCAAATGCAATACAGAGACAAGGATGTCCTCTTAAAAATCAAAATGACAACAACTAGAAAACCCACAATCAATAAACAGATGATATTTAATAGATGTTAAAATAAACCATTTGACATATGTTATCAAATGAAATGAACAATTCGCTATACTATTATATGATGTCCAGTCAATGGGGTACACAATGTAAATTGGGGTCATTTTATTTAAAACCAAAAAAATTCTTTATTCTTCTACGGAGATTCTTCTTGATAGATGTGGATGTAGTTGCCTGAAATAAAAAAAAATTAGATATTAAACCCACTTAAGTTTTCTAATTTGATAATGATAAAATGCCATTTTTTAAAGTAAGTTAAAAACTTGCCTTTCTTGCAGATGAGATTACTTCATTCAAAGGGTTGGGAGAATTGGATGATTCTGTGCATGAATTATCTTTGCATGAGTTGATCTGTCTTGCCTCCTCATTCTAGATTTTAAAAAAAATATATATCGATCAGTGTGGAAATAATACTCACAGCACAAATACATGCATACATTATATTTCTGTTGATAGACTTTTAAAAATGATGGATTTTTTTTTCAGTATAATGACAAACATTTTATTCAGTGGAAAAATGAATCTTGTGAAGTTCAAGTTATCAAAGCGGACAATCTCTTGTTAAATTTAATTAGAAATTTAGACAAATATATGTTTCATTGAATTGAATGAATGATTTACTTTTTAAATTATTGTGAAACAGATAGGAACAGGGCATAGAACTGACTGTCGCTTTCAAAATGTAAGTTTTTTAACAGACATCTACCTTAAATTTGTCTATCCCAAATAGGAAAAGTCTTCTTGGAACAAAATGATCAACAATTTCAACCTTGTGATCGGTCAGTTGCTGTAAAAGACATACTAGTAATATATTGTCTCATAGCATGTATACATGGTCGTGCTAGTAACTATGTCTGGTTATAAATTAACATTTTTCTTAGTATTCATTGTGACTTTTTACCATAAAAAACAGTATACATGTTTTACTTTAGGAAACACTTAGGTTATAGCACTAATAGTCTGATAACTTATACCAGTCTTGAAACACATATTCTTCTTATTTAACAATTAAACTTCATTTTATTGTTTTATTTATTTGAAATTTTACGTTAAAATATGTCTAATCATCATCACTTTATATGATTTCAACCATGCCAATAGAACTGTACCTGCAAGTTTCCTGGCTGTCTTTCATGATGGTACTTTTCTAAGTCTTCTGTCCCCAAACTGATTGTCTTCTGGGCATTGAGAGGTTCTAGCGGGTTACTGTAATGAGTTATGAAATAAATGATGAATGTACACACAATCATATTAAAAAAAAAAGAATTATACATGTACATCAATTAATTAAGACTTCACTCATTAATTCCATTAATTAGATCAGTCAGATCTATAATCATTAACTAGAAAGTAAAAGATGAAGTGCCTTGTTTCGTTATCCCTCTTCTCCTGCACCTCCTCCCCTGACAGCAGATTCTGAAGTTTTACCGACGTCTCATTTGCCTTGTCCTTAAGTGTAACTTCCTGGGGTTTCTCTGGCATCTTCACTTTTGCCTTATCCATTGGAATTGTTTCACGAATCTCTTTCTCTGTAACATCTTCTTCCTTTTCATTTCTTGCTTGAACATCCTATAGAGAGCAAGCATAGTTACAGATGCTGAGATGTTTTGATTATTTTGAACATAATTACACATGTATATACTGCTCATGTACATGAAAATGTGATACCACTGCTTTGAATACATATAAATCTGATTATTTGCTAGTTTGCATACCTTCATTCTTCTTTCGTTTTCTTCAACTTCTGTTGCCCAATCATACGAAAACTTCAATATCTCTAACTTAGCATCCTGAAAGTATAACATCAAATTTGTTAAGTAAAAATTTTGTTGAATTTTTGTTGAATTTCCAAACATTCACAGAATTTCGTCGAATTTCCAAACATACATATGTATATCATTTTTATTAGTGATCCGGTGTTCAATACCTAGACATGTTATGTCATTTTCACCGTGAATTCAAAATCTAAGTCTAAAAAGTATTTTTCCATCCAGTATTTGAAAAGAAATCAGTACTGAGATACATATGGGTACTTTTTCAGAAAGTGTACTTACTAAATTTTTAACTGGATCCTCGCCAAAATCCAGAATTGCTTGGCTATAAAACAAAAACAAAAACAAACAGTGACATTTTCAGCAATTATCCAAATGCATGTATAGTGCTATAATCGGCTTTACTTTGGCATATCAATGATTTTTTGCAGTTCCGCGAGTAGGTTATTGGAAAACGTTTTCTCTATAGAGTCAGTTAACTAGTGTATTACCTATCAATTGCCTTGTTTTCTTCGTTTAACACCCGCTGCTTCTGTTTCAAGGCATCTTTTTGTTCCAGGGGCTGCCCATTTGCTTCCTAGAGGGGAAATTTTTATCATAATGAGACTCTGTTGCTTATTATTAATGCTTTACAATAAGTACTGTCCCCTTATTATTGGTTTTTTTGGCAACATTTCAGATGTTGATAAAAATTATGCTTTCATAATAATTGAATTACATAGCATCGAAAGATACCAATAATGATAAACTTATAATTTAACAGTGAATAGACAAAATAAATATGCAATGTGTGTATAAATATATATATATTATACGGTTAGATGATACATTAGGTGATATCGCTTTGTATATATTTACCTCCATCATTCTTTCTTCTCTCTCCACCTCATCCACCCAAGAGTAATTAAACTTCAAAATAGCCAGTTTCGCATCCTGAGGGAGAAAAATAGATTTAGCAAATTGGGACAGAAATATAAAGGATGTTAGAAAATCGTCTATTGTATAGTATGTGGGCTTATATTTTAATATATTTCGTATAGGACATTTACAACTTGCTAGTCAATATTTAAAATAGTCAACATCAGTATTTTTCTACCCATGCAGTATTTTAAAAAGAACTCGGAGACATACATCTCAAAAAAAAATGTACTTACCAAATTTCTGACTGGCTCCTCACCAAAATCAAGAATTGATTGTCTACAAAGAAAACGGCGAAAGATTCAGGAAAATTTCAAATTAATGTATAGTTCTGCAAATCGCCATGCTTTGATGTATCAATAACTTTCGCTATGTTTGGGAGGGGTTACTGGAAAACGCTTTCTCTATGGTGTCGAATATTACCTATTGATGGTCTTGTTATCGTCGTCTAACTCCATTTGTGTCTTTTTCAGGGCATCTGTTTGTTCCAGGGATTGCTTTTTTGCTTCCTATAGGGAAAATCGACATAATGAAACTATTGCTTTTTATTGATAAAAAAAGGCATACTAATAAAGACTCCCTTTTCTTTTTGCCTGTTTGTTTGGTTTTATTTTTAAATGTTAGCTACCATAATTGAATTGTAGTTTTGAGCCCAACATTATGCCATCACAGTAGTAAAGCATTAAAGCATTGAAAGGCCCCAATAATGATAACTTAGAGTAATAGATAGTCAAGAAGACTTTATTTTGCTAATATTATAATCAGACATTAGCAGTGTGTTGTGTAATGATAAATATCTTCTCACAAGCAAAAATGAAGTAAACTGTTTGTGCCATTTGTATACTAGTATATTTACCTTCATCATTCTCTCTTCCCTCTCCACTTCAGCCACCCAACTGTAATCAAATTTTAAAATCGCCAGTTTCGCATCCTAAAAATAAAAAAAAAAAATAATAAGAAAGGTTTTGAGATACTCAAAAATTCTAATTACGAGAAAATCTTTCTTTTTAAATTCAATTTCAAATATATGAAGGCAGAGTTGGACCACGAGTTAAAGACAAAACAGCTAGATTTTATGCACTAAAATGTTAGAGAAATCATTAAGTGCAATCCTGCGTCAAAATGCTATTTTGATATCAAGAAGCCAATTTTTTTCTTAATAAAAATCCATTATTATATACGCTAACATTTCAGCAATATGACCAAAAAGAGTAAATTCAATGCCATAATTTCCAGTTGTATTGTTGAAACAATATTATTCACGAATTCTTTGCAAATGCACTTACCACGTCTTTTACAGCCTCGGCTCCAAAATCCAACACGTCATATATGATTTTCTATAAAGGATAAGGAATATGAAAAGTTTGACACAAAAAATTCTGTAATTGAACTTACAAAAAAGCGAAATATTGTAATTTATGAAAGCAGTTTTACCTCCGACATCTTTATCCAAGTTTTGTTGTAGCGACAATTATTTCGTCATATCAACTGTTACGTTCGACATTATGACGTCATACATAATCTAATGTCTTGGAGGCAACTGCTGTCTTATAAGGGAGACAGCCTGGTTTATAACATGTAAATAAACTTGTTTATAACATACCTCTGTAAATCACATTTTTTTTGCGTAATTAAGATCGTCTTTTCGCGAGAATTTCATTCTCGCGTATATTTTTATTGTTAAAGAATATAAAAAACAATTAACAAAAATTAAATCCGTGATTTCTTTCCTCGCTTATTAATACCAAATAAAAATATACTGAACATTATGACCTAACCCTCAGTTTTTTTGTCTTTTTTTTTTTGGTTGCAAGAATGAATGACAAAGTTATTCCTCTCCTCCTACATTTCTCATTTGCTTTCAATGTATATTAAGTATTTTCAAATGACTCAAGAAATCGTCGTTTAAATTCTCCGCCAATAATTGGTCCTCTAGAAGAGAAGAAAAACTCCAAAACCTTCTTGCACGTATTTGGCTAATGCGTGAAATGTGAGAGTTCTGGCAACCAGATTTATGTAGAAAAAACTCCCAGTTTGCCCCCAAGATGAAAATGAAAACTTCAATAGAAACTTTATTGCACATCTTTAGGACACCGCGAATCATATTCCAAAAGATGAACTGGTTACTGGCAGTAACTTACTGCTTGTGTCAGACTTACCGGGATAACAAAATTATTACCGACCTTGTTTTAGTGATTATACTATAAATAGGGAAATTGTTTGGGACCGCAATATCAGAAATATGACAAAATTTAAAAACAATATTTTTTCCAGGTATCTGTAAGATCAAACACAAAGTATATACATGTAGTTATTTTGACATTTATTCGTAATATTTTCAAGGCAATATGTTACGGGGGAAAAGAATCAAAAAGTTAATGTCATATCTGCTAAATCTAGTTAAAATAGGATCTCTTGATTCGATCACGTAGATTGTTATTTCTTTGTTTGCGATCTACTGAGCGGATCAAAGGGTCTCGTTTTCATATTGCAATAGTAATGTATTTTGAGGTTTTTTGCGATTTTCAGGGAAAAAAACGTTTATTTTCAGGTCGTCGTTGGAACAAGTCTTACAGAATTTTACATTCATACCGGAGTGAAACAAGGGTGCTTGCTCTCGCCACTCCTCTTCACACTGTGCACAGACTAGTTCATGAAGGAAATAATAGTAACCAGTAAACCATGAACACAACCAGAAGTCTCTGTCGAGACTGTAGCTCTACTGGTTTGTACTTATAACAAAGGAAGAAAAAAGTAGCACTTGGACTTCAAACTTTGCAACAGCAATAAATAGAATAATTATCCTAGATTTAGTCTCTTTTTGTGGCAAGATTGCAATCAGACTAAAACTGTAGGAGGAGTAACCTTTTAAAAGAATTTTACAGAAATTTCGATTTTAGTAACCATGGCAACATCATTCAACAAAATAAAAAAAAAAAAGACAATTATGTTTCTCAGTAAAGTCTACTTGTGTGCTAAATTCTATTGAAATTAGACCAAAACTGTAAGAGGAGTAGTGTTTTGAAAGCATTTCAAGAAAATTTCTATTTTTAGTGACCATGGCAACACCATTCATCAAAATCAAAAACTGATACAGGTTATTCAGACCGAAACTGTAGGAGGGGTAAGATTTGAAAGTATTTCAAAGAAATTTCAAGTTTTAGTAACTATGGCAACATCCTTCATTAAAATCAAAAACCAATATAAAGAACTATGTATCTTAGTGTAGTATACTTGTGTGATAAGATATACTGAAATCAGACCAAAACTGTAGGAGTAAGGTTTTAAAAGTATTTCACAGAGATTTCTATTTTTACTAAAAATAGAAATTCCTGTGAAAAATTTTTAGTAACCATGGCAACATCCTTCATTGAAATCAAAAACCAATAAATAGAATTATGTATCTTAGTGTAGTCTATATGTGAGCTTAGTTGTATTGAAATCAGATCAAAACTGTAGGAGGAGTAGGATTTTGAAAGTTTTTAACAGGAATTTCTATATTTAGTAACCATGGTAACACCATTCATTGAAATCAAAAACCGATAAATAGAATTATGTGTCTTAGTGTAGTATACTTGTGTGCCAAGTAATACTGAAATCAGACCAAATCTGTAGGAGGAGTAGCATTTAGAAAGTTCTCCCAGAAATCTCCATTTTTAGTAACCATGGCAATACCGTTCATTGAAATCAAAAACCGATATACAGAATTATGTATCTTAGTGTAGTCTACTTATGTGCCAAGTTATATTGAAATCAGATCAAATCTGTAGGAGGAGTAGCATTTTGAAAAATTGTTTACTGATGGACGGACACCTAAACAGACAGACGGACAGACAATGGACACCTTACTATTGCATAAGCTCTTCTGGTCTCTGACCAGTAGAGCTAACAAGAGGCCCATGGGCCACATCGCTCACCTGAGCACATTGGCTAGGCAAAAGCACAAATCAGTTCAGTATTGAAAAGATTACCTGGGGTTTGGGGGGGAGGGGGGCTTGAATTTTAAACTACCTGATGATGCTTCCATGTCAATATAACAAATGGCTTTATTGTACTTGTAAAGATTTTAAAAAAATTTTCCCATATATTCCTTTGTAAAAATTTGATCCTCCATTGTGGCTCCTCCCTCTCTCAGGGGTCATCATTTGAACTTGAATCTACACTACCTGAGGATGCTTCCATATCAATATGACTAAACATAGCTTTCCTGTACTTGAGAAGAAATATTTTCTCTATATGTTCTTATGTAAAACTTTCGATCCCCCAATGGGCCCCATCCAACCCCTGGGGGTCATCATTTGAACAAAATTGAATCTACACTACCTGAGGATGCTTCCATATCAAAATGACTAATCATGGTTTGCAGTTCTTCAGAAGAAGATATTTCCCTATATATTTCTACTTAAGACTT